GCCTGTGGCTAGAACAAGCGTAGCACTCTAATACGATCATTTGTACAGCTGAAGTTTCCTGCTGAGCTTGAGCATCCTCCCAGCAACAGCCTAATAGGACTCCTGCAGTGCGACCTTTCTTTCCTGTCGCCATTGGCTCAGAAACCCATCAGCGTTAACTACTGCCTGACATAACTCTGGCGCAACGCCAAGGAAGGGAGAGAGGAACGAGGGAACGAGGAACAGTGTCCTACTGCTGATTGAATACCAGGAGAAGACAGTGGCTTCTCTGGACGTTCAGGGTCATCCCCAGGTTCAAATTCATGGCATGGAAACAGAACAGTCCAATTGTGATGGCCTGGGATTCGGACTCGGATGCTGAACCTGAGGGATCCCAGCCTGCACAGGATTCCCCGCCTCCAGAACCAGCTGAGCCGGGGCTGGGGCTTGAGCCTGAAGGGTACTCACCTGTGCTGGATCCTCAGGTGCAGGCATCAACTGAGTCTGCTCTGGCTCCTGAGGTGATGGAGGACCCATTGCCTGCAGGTGCTCCACTCTCAGCCCCGTCAGAGGAAGCTGAGGTTGCCTCTGGGTCCGGTAACCCTCCAGCCTCTCCTGAGCTGCAGAGGCTCAGGGCAGAGAGGTGGAGGGAACTAAGTTCCCGCAGGAGGAGTGCTCGCCTCCAGGCCAGGAGAGGTGAGTCACCAGAGGATCGGGGCTGCCCTATGCCTCAGGGCAGATAAAAGCCGGCCGGCCCCAGTCCCAAGTTGCGGGAGCAACATTGTTGGTTGCTAGTTCTTGCCTGAACCCTGTCCTGCTTTCCTGCCTGAGCTCCTGACCCACCCTGGCTCCCTGCTTGCAAGCCTGTTCCTGACTTCACCCGACTCCCTGCCCTGCACCCAGCTCCCGCTACTACATACTGCCTCCACGTTGCACCTTTGACCATAGACCAGATTTGGACCTCGCCTCTTGGGTAACCTACGGGACCAGCACACCAATAATGATGATGATGGTGATGATCTCTCAGTTTCTCGGTTTCCTATTTCTCTTTATTTCCACATCAGTGTCAAGCGGCAGAGGAACAACCCCCATAGCAGGTTACCAGGAATGGATAAGACAAGGAAAAGTCCTTACCATCTGCTTTTTATTCGATATTTACAGAGAGAGGCTTGGGAATGCAGTGTCTTGGAATAATGGCATTGTCCTGAGTAAATCTCCACACATACCCTTCTCTCCCACTTCCTCATTCATCAACAGCACAAGCCCTCTACAGTTGTGCTGTTGGGCTTACAGTGGTACCTCGGGTTAAGTACTTAATTCGTTCCGGAGGTCCGTTCTTAACCTGAAACTGTTCTTAACCTGAAGCACCACTTTAGCTAATGGGGCCTCCTGCTGCGACCGCGCCACCGGAGGACAATTTCTGTTCTCATCCTGAAGCAAAGTTCTTGACCTGAGGTAATATTTCTGGGTTAGCGGAGTCTGTAACCTGAAGCATATGTAACCTGAAGCATATATAACCCGAGGTACCACTGTACTGCCATTTGTCTCTGAGCTCTTTGCTCTCCTACTTTTAAGGATTGCCGGATTCTGGGAGGTGGTGGTTCTGCAATGCTTTCTAGTGACAACGTGTCAGCCAGCTGCTCCATCTCTGCCTCCTCTTCCTCCTCCTCTGTTCCCATTATTTCCCAACTTTCCCCCTCATCTTCCTCTGAGCTATGATCTCCCTCATACCCCTGTTGTATTTCAGAACTGTCTTCTTCTTCTCTGGAAGGGTAGGCTGGGGAGGCGGTCTCCACCGTTCCTCCTCTGCCCAGTCCCTGACAATCAACTTCCACTTTTTAAAAAAACATAAATAAAACAAGTCCTCACGAAAATTCGCCAGCATTTTAGTGCTCATTTCTCTCAATATATATGTCTGTATGCAATTTTCCCTATTATGGTGCCTCTTTGTTTCTTGGGTTCAGACATTATTTCGGAATGTGTGTATTAGGTGAGTCTGCCTTTAAATGTGAACGGAATCAAATTCCCCCTCCCCCATCCCTTTTCAAGTGTTAATTAGTTACACCTCCACAATGCCATTTAAATAATCAAAATCACTAGTTAGAATACATACGCAGAAGAGACCAGATGATATTCATTTGATAATTATTCTTTTATTTACAAAGCATTATTTTAAAAAAAGAGAATAACAAAGGGAGTTAAGGGCATGGCAAGGAGTGCAGCATGAAAGACAGGAACTGGAGGGGGGGTTAAAATAAAATAACATTTTCTCTTTTTTTACAAAAATCTCAAAGCTTTTCTCTTAAGAATTCTAGGTGCCGAAATTCCAGCAGATCAGAAAAAGACTATTTACCGTATGTATGTGACTGCTGCTGCTCGGATGTTATTAGCCCAGAAATGGAAAGAAGTCCCAGAGAAGAATGGCAGATTAAGTTGATGGACTATGCCAAATCATCAAAAATGACCGGAAGAATCAGAAACCAGGAAGACCAAAATTTTGATAAGGAATGGGGAAAATATATAATTTACCTTAAAAACCATTGTAAAATTATTAGTAGGATTGGCATAACACTTGTAGTTTAATGCTGAATTTTGGGTATAATGGAGATTTTAAAAAATTGGGATTAATAGACAAGATGCAGGAGGAAAAGGTTAATATAAGGACCCACAAAGGGGAGGAGGGGAATCCAGGAGATTCTTCAGAATTCTCTTATGTTGATTGTTTGTAAATTGTTAAAATTTAGAAAACTAATTTTTTTTAAAAAAAAAGAATAAAAAGAAAGACTGGAGTGGGTGGTAGATACTTGTTCGGAAGGAGACAATGAGATTGTTGGTGAGCAGAATGAAAGTGAGAGGTTCTTTGGGATATGAAATAAAAGATACAGTGGTACCTTGGTTCTCAAACGCCTTGGTACTAACACAGATTGGAATTGAAACACTGCAAACCCAGAAGTAAGTGTTCCGGTTTGCGAACCTTTTTCGGAAGCCGAACGTGCTCTGTTTTGAGTGGTACACATCCGTTTTGAGTGCCACACTTCCATTTTGAGTATTACGCTGTCTGTTTTTGCTATTTATTTTGCATTTTTGTATCTGTGGCTCTTTTTTTGTGACTGTGTGGAACCCTATTCAGCTATTGATTGATTGTGTGACTGCACTACATTGTTTATTGCTTTCATTTTATGGATCAATGGTCTCGTTAGAGAGTAAAATTCATGTTAAATTGCTGTTTTAGGGGGTTGTTTTTAAACATCTGGAACGGATTAATCCATTTTGCATTACTTTCTATGGGAAGGGGTGCCTTGGTTTTGGAATGCTTTGGTTTTGGAATGGACTTCCAGAACGGATTAAGTTTGAGAACCAAGGTACCACTGTATATACTTCCTGACTCCAGTACTGAAGTGCGGAACTAGGGTTGACATAAAGCAAGTAATTAAAACACTTCCCTCCCATTTGGGGAAGACTCTATAGAGAAGCAGAAGACTTGCCAGTTTTGGAGCAAGGAGGATGGGTCCAATGTGGATTCATGATGTCCTCCCATGCTCACGTCTGATAGACTACATGGTATAAACAGGAAGACTCTTTGGCGTACCAGCAATTTTCCCTGTACTTATTCTGATGTGACTTTTGGACATCATCGTATAGTTATATATACACCGTATTTTTCACTCTATAAGATGCACCAGACCACAAGACACACCTAGTTTTTGGAGGAGGAAAACAAGAAAAAAAATATTCTGAATATCAGAAGCCAGAACAGCAAGAGGGATTGCTGCGCAGTGAAAGCAGCAATACACCTTGCTGTTCTGGCTTCTGGGATAGCTGCGCAGCCTGCATTTGCTCCATAAGACGCACACACATTTCCCCTTACTTTTTAGGAGGGAAAAAGTGAGTCTTATAGAGCAAAAAATACGGTAATTGGCTGGGTGAGGATAGGCATTGTCTCTCTGCCTCATTGGCCAGGATTGCTTCTAGAAGGAGTCAGGGTTTGGTTTTGTTAAACAGTGCGAGTTAGAGAAAGTAAAAACGAAACAACAACAACAAAAACACAGCCACAACCGGGGGCACATGAAAAAGGTATGGAAGGCTACATGCTTTTGTTTGAAGGGATCCGTAAACAAACCCCTGTGTTGCAATACAGACAAGCTGAACAATATAACACAACTTCTCATATTAATTCTTACAAGTCTGGCTGATGAAGAATTGATCAAGATTGGCTGATGAAGCATTGAACGAAACAGATTGGTTATCCGGAAACTCTGTTCCGGCGATATTTGGTGACTGATTATGTACCGTATTTTTCGCTCTATAAGACGCACCAGACCACAAGACACACCTAGTTTTTGGAGGAGGAAAACAAGAAAAAAAATATTCTGAATCTCAGAAGCCAGAACAGCAAGAGGGATTGCTGCGCAGTGAAAGCAGCAATCCCTCTTGGTGTTCTGGCTTCTGGGATAGCTGCGCAGCCTGCATTCGCTCCATAAGACACACACACATTTCCCCTTACTTTTTAGGAGGGAAAAAGTGAGTCTTATAGAGCAAAAAATACGGTATATATCAAACTTTTCAATTATTCTACCACGACTGGTGAAGAAGATTTAGAGACTTTGGTTGTAATTTCTGATCATTTGTATTAGTCTATAAATAGTGTTTAGTGCCATTGTTATTGGCCATTGTGTTGTGTTATATTGTTCAGTTTGTTTGAGGGGAAGCATTCAAACAGGTAAACAACACCCCTACTTTCAGCCTGAAGTGGTACAGCCTAGGAAAAGCTGTACCAGCTGATTCTGCAGACTGTATATAACCCGACCCTAAGCATACTGCTATTTTTGTTATTGAAGAATTTGTGGGGAGATTTTGCAAAGAAGATGGGTACTTGAGAGTTCATGCTGTGCAGTGATGTGGCTACATCCTAAGGAACTCAAGGACCAAACAGCCTTTGCAGCGTCAATTTAGTATTCATTTGTTGAAGTGTTGCATCTCTCTTTGTTGTGATCCAATCTGGAAGTAACAAATTGCATTCCTGTTTATTAGACATTTATTTTCACTCTCGTTACTTGGTAGAAATCCACACCGTTTCGTCCTTTTCCGTGGCAGTTTTCCTTTCTTTTTCCCGGTTACATTGGTACAATTTTCTCATAGACCCCAGGAGTAAAATAGCTGCTTTTCCGTATCTGTAAAATAAGAAAAATAATCTGGCACTGCAAGAAAACTGTGTTCCATCCTACCATATATGCTCCCACATCTTGAGATTGATATAACCTACCTCCAGGTGTATATTCTCGACCTCTCTAATTTCTGTTGATCTTAACAAATGAGGTCCCTGATAATTGCTTTTGACAGAATATTTCACAGTCTGTAAGCTTTTTCATTCTTCCATAATCTCGAATCCAGGAAGACAACAAAGATCAAGTCTGAAGGTATTTGAACTGATGGCCTGTTTGCTGTTTTGTAACCTCTGCCTGAGAAATTTAGATAAAGTGTTCCCGGTCTACTAAACACAATGCTGATGGTGAGATGCCTGGACCCAACATATTCTTTTATGCGTTCCACAATTTTACACTACCAACAGCATTCTTCTCTGTATTTCGGCACTATGGCTGAGGGGAAATGGACCCTCCAAATTCTCTAAACTCTTTTCCGGGGGTGAAATTCGGGCAGAGTGCGGGGTTGCAGAATATTCTCCAAAGGGAGTAGGTGGGGTTTTCAAATAGGCTGGAGCTGGAGAAGGATTGAAGGTGGCTAAGAACTCGATAATAAAAAAATAATTCCTGACAAACATAATCTCCAGATTAAAGTCCTATCAAAAAACAACATCCGCAATATCCAGCAAAGATGTGCCAGGTAGGACTTTAGAAGGAAAAAACACAGGATGGGAAGTGCTTGGAAGACCCTAAGGAACATGAATACACTCTAATTCCGATAGGCAACACACCTCTGTGAAGAGTTAAACCACCCTGTTCAGCACATGCTGACTCTACTCATCGTATTGAGATTATTACAGTGTTCTGGTATTGTGGTGAGGAAGGCAAGGGCAGTGGTTGCTAGTTCTGAATCAGAAAGAAACTGCTGCCGTTCATTTCACATTGATGAACATCCTTTTTGACCTCAAGCCCAGAACAGCAGCTGATCTTGAAGAACTAAATAACCCTGCAAGGAATTTCATTTCATCTTCTTGGTGTTTCTTCACCTTTCACGGCAAGAGTAATAATTTAACAGTGCTGAGTGGGACAAAGTTTCTGGTCCACACATAAGGCCCCTGCCCTGTTTCTGGTGGATTGCATGCTGGGTGCTGTAATTCTTGCAAAAAATAATAATAATTCTGGGCTTGGGTGACTTAATATGGATCAGTTATGCCTCTTGTGTCAAGAGTTCTTGCACATGTAAAAGTAAAGGTAAAGGGACCCCTGACCATTAGGTCCAGTCGTGACCGGCTCTGGTGTTGCGGCGCTCATCTCGCTTTATTGGCCAAGGGAGCCGGTGTACAGCTTCCGGCCAGCATGACTAAGCCGCTTCTGACGAACCAGAGCAGCGCATGGAAACGCTGTTTACCTTCCCGCCGGAGTGGTACCTATTTATCTACTTGCACTTTGAGGTGCTTTCGAACTGCTAGGTTGGCAGGAGCAGGGACCGAGCAACGAGAGCTCACCCCGTCGCGGGGATTCGAACCGCCGACCTTCTGCTCGGCCAGTCCTAGGCTCTGTGGTTTAACCCACAGCGCCACCCGCATCCTCTTGCACATGTACTCTTGCTTAAAACAAAAAACGAAGCATGTTGGTGGAGCAAATTAAAATACGTTGGTGAGGACACCCCATCCTTGGTCTAATAATTCTAGATCAGGCATGGCCAAACTTGGCCCTCCAGCTGTTTGGGGACTACAATTCCCATCATCCCTGACCACTGGTCCTGTTAGCTAGGGATGATGGGAGCTGTAGTCCCAAAACATCTGGAGGGCCGAAATATTGGGAAATTTTGGAACAAGAAGGAGACAAATTGAAATTGCAGAGTTTTGAGAAATTAAAAGACAAAGTGCGAGACTGGCTTCATTATTATCAGATAATGGAGGCATACAATTTGGACAAGAAAATTGGCTTCCAGGTGGAAAAATCAAAATTGGAAACAGAACTGTTAGAACCCAAAACTAAGATTCTGTCAAAGATGTATAACTTGCTGTTGAAATGGAATACTCAGGATGAAACGGTGAAATCTGCTATGATTAAATGGGCACAAGATGTTGGACATAACATTATGTTTGCTGACTGGGAACAGTTGTGGACCACAGGTATGAAATTTACGGCATGTAATGCCCTAAGAGAGAATATTATGAAAATGATATACAGGTGGTACATGACACCAGTCAAGCTTGCAAAAATCTATCATTTGCCCGATAATAAATGCTGGAAATGTAAGGAAAACGAAGGTACATTCTTTCACCTTTGGTGGACGTGCCCAAAGATCAAGGCTTTCTGGGAGATGATTTATAATGAACTGAAAAAGGTATTTAAATATACCTTTCTAAAGAAACCAGAGGCCTTCCTGTTGGGCATAGTCGGCCAATTGGTGCAAAAGAAGGATAGGACTTTCTTTATGTATGCCACAACAGCAGCAAGAATACTTATTGCAAAGTATTGGAAGACACAAGATCTACCCACTTTGGAAGAATGGCAGATGAAGATGATGGACTATATGGAACTGGCAGAAATGACTGGCAGAATCCAAGACCAGGGAGAAGAGTCGGTGGAAGAAGATTGGAAAAAGTTTAAAGACTATTTACAGAAATACTGTAAAATTAATGAATGTTAGAATGATGTTGGATAGAAACTAAGTGGTTTTTAGCTGTAATGTTATAAGGGAATATGAAAAATGGACTATTAATAGGTAAAAATCTAATGTTACAATACTTTAAGATTGATGATTAGGATAAACAAAGAGGGGAGGGATTTGCTGAACTAACAAACTGAATTGGAATACAGAAAAGGGAGGTGTGAGGAGGTCCGGGAAATAAGCAAATGAAAGATAAGTGACTGAAAAACTGAATTGTTTTTAACTATTTTTATTTTGTATTTTTCTTTTTTCTTTTTTATTTTGTAATATTTTGAAAATCTTAATAAATATCTTTGAGGGGGGAAAACCAAAACATCTGGAGGGCCAAGTTTGGCCATGCCTGTTCTAGATTCTGCTCAGCAACATAGCAATACAGACCAGACATTGCATTCAAGTCCTTCTTGGGATAGCAACTCAAGACTCTGGACGCAATTTCTAGCACACACACACACCAATTGATGTGAAGGCATGGTTACATTCTCCAGGTTGACTCTTCAGGCCTGTCTGTTGACCAGAATGCAAGGGAACCAAACTGCCAAAAATATGATGGTCATGATATTACAAATTCCCTTGGATTTATTCCTAAAAGCCCATGTACTATGTTATAGCTCATGTACTTACAGCCTTTCTCATAATGCAGGTTGTGATTAAAATGCTGTATACAAGCAATCCAGAAGCTACTGCTGTTGTGATCCAAAGATAGAGTTGCGGGTCTGGGCATGGATCTGTGTCTGAAATACATTTAATTTTTCAAATTATCATCTTCAGGAAGATAGAGCAAATGTTAACACACACACACACACACACACACACACACACTGTTTTCCAAGTACAGTCGTACCTTGGAAGTCGAATGGAATCCCTTCTGGAAGTCCGTTTGACTTCCAAAACATTCGGAAACCAAGTCACAGGCCAGAAAGCTCACTGCAAAATTCAGAGAAGTGTGAGTTTCAAAGGATGGCTGTACTTCAGTTCTCGTATTGTTTTGGAAAATATGGATTAGGTATAATAATAATAATAATAATTTATTATTTAAACCCCGCCCATCTGGCTGGGCCTCCCCAGCCACTCTGGGCGGCTTCCATATAAACCAAAAATACACTAAAATATCACACGTTAAAAACTTCCCTGAACAGGGCTGCCTTAAGATGTCTTCTGAATGTCAGATAGTTGTTTATTGCTTTGACATCTGCTGGAAGGGCGTTCCACAGGGCAGGCGCCACTACCGAGAAGGCCCTCTGCCTGGTTCCTTGTAGCTTTGCTTCTCGCAATGAGGGAACCGCCAGAAGGCCCTCGGCGCTGGACCTCAGCGTCTGGGCAGAACGCCTTAACTCACTTAAGGTAAAGGGACCCCTGACCATTAGGTCCAGTCGTGACCAACTCTGGGGTTGCGGCGCTCATCTCGCTTTATTGGCCAAGGGAGCCGGTGTACAGCTTCCGGCCAGCATGACTAAGCCGCTTCTGGTGAACCAGAGCAGCGCATGGAAACACTGTTTACCTTCCCGCCAGAGCGGTACCTATTTATCTACTTGCACTCTGACATGCTTTCGAACTGCTAGGTTGGCAGGAGCAGGGACCGAGTAACGGGAGCTCACCCCGTCGCGGGGATTCGAACCACCGACCTTCTGATCAACAAGTCCTAGGCTCTGTGGTTTAACCCACAGCGCCAACTCACTTACTAGGAAGCAAATCTCAGTGTGACGGACTTCTGCACAAACATGTACATACTGTGAGAAGGCTGATTTGAGAGTTACAGGATTGAACTGATAGACCTCAAGGACACACATTCATTCTGAAAAACACTTGAAGGCACCCTGACATCAAATCGTGAGCTTTCTGAACTTACCAACCACATAGAGCTGGGTTCCCCTTCCCATGACTTGGATGTAGGGTGGCGGGAAAATCCGTTCCATCTTGCAGATATACAGACCAGCATCAGTCGGCTGCAGACCCCATAGAGTAACGTTTACACCATTGTGACCAGGGTGGACTTGGCACTTGATGCCATCCTTCACGATGAACGGCTCATACCCAGCAGTAAGCCATGAAGCACACATCCTGAGAGACTCGTTGCCAAGGTGTTTAAGTAAAGTTATTACGAGTCCCTCTGCATCTCCAGCATTCCTGTATTCACACGCAAAGTGGGCAGCCTCTTGCCTTTTGACCACCAGGAACGACGGTTGAGTTACTTCTATGACTGTAATGAAATATCAAACACAGTGTCGTGATAAATAAACATGCTCAAGAGAAATATGCTGTATCCATAGAAAAGGGAGTGGCAGGTATCTCAGATACTTATTTAATATCAGATATTTAATTTACCGCTTTTGACTTATGGTGCTGGAGGAGACTCTTGAGAGTCCCATGGACTGCAAGAAGATCAAACCTATCCTTTCTTAAGGAAATCAGCCCTGAGTGCTCACTGGAAGGACAGGTCGTGAAGCTGAGGCTCCAATACTTTGGCCACCTCATGAGAAGAGAAGACTCCCTGGAAAAGACCCTGATGTTGGGAAAGATGGAGGGCACAAGGAGAAGCGGACGACAGAGGACGAGATGATTGGATAGTGTTCTCGAAGCTACCAGCATGAGTTTGACCAAACTGTGAGAGGCAGTGGAAGACAGAAGTGCCTGGCGTGCTCTGGTCCATTGGGTCACGAAGAGTCGGACACGACTAAACGACTAAACAACAACAAGGACTAATATGATATAAAAGTACAATAAAAACATAAAAAGAGCCTTGCTATATCGGGCCAATGGTCCTTCTAGCATCTTACTCTCATGGTGACTAACAAGATGCTGGTAGACAGGGGCGTAACTAGTAAAAGACCCAGTTTGAAACACCCACCCATGAGAATTTGCTGGGCAGCCTCAATGGTACACCTCTGGAGGCTTCACCTGGGGCAAAACACCTGGCTAGCCTCCCCAACCCTCCCATAACTATGGCTCTGTCTGTAGGAGGTCCATATGTACATATATAGATGGTGGTCATGGTGGTGTTCATAAAATCATAATCATCATCATCATCATCATTTATACCCTGCCCATCTGGTTTTCCCAGGCACTCTGGGTGGCTTACAGCGCATAAAAAATGGTAAAACATTAGACGTTAAAAAATTCCCAATGCAGTAGTAACAACTACTGTAGTAAGAACAACAACAACCCTACTTTCTAATGTATTTTCCATGTCTCTTCTGGATAATTTTATATAGGAGGGATTTCTCAGCCTCGTCCTATATTATGAATAACTCACCTTTGCTGAAGCCAGCAGCTAAGCTGGGAAAGACAAGGGCGATAAAAAACGAAATCATCACACAGCCAGATGTTGGTTTCATGTAGACGTTCGATGCTTTCTTAGTCGAAGACAAGCTGGAAAGAAACCAGATTGATATTTAGAATGATCCTTTGTTCACGATAGAGGATTTCGGTGTGAACGGAACCCACGCAGTGTGTGAGAGAGAGAAAGAGAGAGGGAGGGAGGGAGGGAGGGAGGATATACCTGAAAAGGTAAGCAATGTTTTGGTTGTTTCAAGACAGGAAGCAGTGGAAATACGTGTGCAGTTAACCTCAAAGAGCAGTGAGCAAAGCAAATGTTCATCACCCAGAAAAATTAGTCAACATGAAACTTGTATTCAATATTAAAATGTACGGCAAGAGAGGAGATTGTCCCCTACAGCATCAATATGAGTTCATTTCCTTCCATTCTTTCTGCTATTTTCCATTTATATATATAATAGTATTGGGCAGCAGCCAATGTCACATGAATGGACTTCTGCTCACGTGAGAGGACTTCCTCTTCTTCTTTCTCCACCCACTCTCCCCAAATCTTCTCCGGAGAATCTCCCCCACCCCCCAGAGAAAATTTTGAAGGGGGGGGCTACAGGAGGTGAGAGAGGAAGGGATGAAATCCTATCACAGCCATGGAAGTCTGCCAGAGGTCCAGCAATCCCTCAGCAAATTCAAAATATAACAAGTGAGAAAATAAAATAACGTCATGGTTTTGTTTTAACTAATAATTTACCATATTTTTTGCTCTATAAGACTCACTTTTTCCCTCCTAAAAAGTAAGGGGAAATGTGTGTGCGTCTTATGGAGCAAATGCAGGCTGCGCAGCTATCCCAGAAGCCAGAACAGCAAGAGGGATTGCTGCTTTCACTGCGCAGCGATCCCTCTTGTTGTTCTGGCTTCTGAGTTTCAGAATATTTTTTTTCTTGTTTTCCTCCTCCAAAAACTAGGTGCGTCTTGTGGCCTGGTGCATCTTATAGAGCGAAAAATACGGTATGTAGAGAAATCCACCTCCTCAGCAAAACTTCCAGTGACACATGATTGATCTTCTGAGATATATAGAGCGAAAAATACGGTAATTATCTTATGGAGCGAAAAATACGGTAATTGGAGGCAAACACTGCCCACCTCCCTGTTGCTGTAGCCACATTGTCTTTATATTTCCCCATACTCTTGCATTTTCTGTGCATAACTGTAGTGCCAATGGGCTCCATGAGAAACTTAGGCATCAAGACCCCAACATCATTTTGAACTGAAATGCCTAACAGCACAGCCTTAGGGGAATGTGGTATCGACAGCCTTCCTGCTGATGCTACTTAGTTCACGAGATAAATTTGAGAACCAGAAGGTGAACCATTTAGGCTGGAATTTTCAATTTGTTCAGCGTTACTTCACGAATTGAAGGGATGCAGGTGGCGCTGTGGTCTAAACCACAGAGCCTTGGGCTTGCCGATCAGAAGGTCAGCGGTTTGAATCCCTGCGATGGAGTGAGCTCCCGTTGCTCAGTCCCAGCTCCTGCCAACCTAGCGGTTCGAAAGCACGTCAAAGTGCATTTCCATATGCTGCTCTGGTTTGCCACATGATCCGGCCACATGACCCGGAAAAACTGTCTGCGGACAAACACCAGCTCCCTCAGCCAGTAAAGCGAGATGAGTGCCACAACCCCAGAGTCGTCCACGACTGGACTTAACAGTCAGGGGACCCTTTACCTTTACTTCACGAATTGCATAGCATGTCTATGGCATGCACAGGGTCTGTGATATCCCATTTGAGACTTCTATAGGTGTCTACTTCACCACTAGAATATACCTCTGAAGTTGCTTCAAAACATGAATGTAGTTATAAAAAAATAATACTAAGATTGCATACATACATAACATCCACATTTCTCGGCACATGCCTGCACATGTATGTGTACCTACAGTATGTATGATCACTCATTAGCTTACACTCATAGAATCATAGAATCATAGAGTTGGAAGAGACCACAAGGGCCATCGAGTCCAACCCCCTGCCAAGCAGGAAACACCATCAGAGCACTCCTGACATATGGTTGTCAAGCCTCTGCTTAAAGACCTCCAAAGAAGGAGACTCCACCACACTCCTTGGCAGCAAATTCCACTGTCGAACAGCTCTTACTGTCAGGAAGTTCTTCCTAATGTTTAGGTGGAATCTTCTTTCTTGTAGTTTGGATCCATTGCTCCGTGTCCGCTTCTCTGGAGCAGCAGAAAACAACCTTTCTCCCTCCTCTATGTGACATCCTTTTATATATTTGTACATGGCTATCATATCACCCCTTAACCTCCTCTTCTCCAGGCTAAACATGCCCAGCTCCCTTAGCCGTTCCTCATAAGGCATCGTTTCCAGGCCTTTGACCATTTTGGTTGCCCTCCTCTGGACACGTTCCAGTTTGTCAGTGTCCTTCTTGAACTGTGGTGCCCAGAACTGGACACAGTACTCCAGGTGAGGTCTGACCAGAGTAGAATACAGTGGCACTATTACTTCCCTTGATCTAGATGCTATACTCCTATTGATGAGGCCCAGAATTGCACTCAATATATGAATGCAAGGCATTTATATGCCATTTCCAGTACTATATGCATTTCCACCTGACTCTAGTATACACCTTTTCATACAAATTACTTGGCTGCAGAACTGCACCATAAAAGCCATAGAAGTGCAAATTTGAAAGGATGGATGGCTTCCGATTCACACATTGTTTGGGTTCAGATTATGGAGGTTTACCTTTAAGTATAAAATGCATTGCATCTCTTCCCCAACCCAACTCAAAAGGCAGATTATCCATTCCTTGCCTCTCTAGGCTGTCTAAACTTGGGCACTAGGAAAGTTTTACCTGCTCTTCTTCAAAGCCAGGAGACTGGGGGAATTTCCCCTCAGGTAAAGGTAAAGGGACCCCTGACCATTAGGTCCAGTCGTGACCGACTCTGGGGTTGCGGCGCTCATCTCGCTTTATTGGCCAAGGGAGCCGATGTACAGCTTCCAGGTCATGTGGCCAGCATGAGTAAGCCGCTTCTGGTGAACCAGAGCAGTGCACGGGAATGCTGTTTACCTTCCCGCCGGAGTGGTACCTATTTATCTACTTGCATTTTGACGTGCTTTCGAACTGCTAGGTTGGCAGGAGCAGGGACTGAGCAATGGGAGCTCACCCCATCTCGGGGATTCGAACCACCCACCTTCTGATCGGCCAGTCCTAGGCTCCGTGGTTTAACCCACAGCGCCACCCGCGTCCCTTTCCTCACTGGTGGTCAAGCTTAAACAGTCACAAAACTTTGGGAGGGGAAAGCTGGTCCTTCCTCCTCTTAAGGCAGCCCTCTAGGTGTTTTAGGACTACAGTTCCCATCATCCCTGACCACTGGTTTTGTTAGCTAGGGATGATGGGAGTTGTAGTTCCAAAACATCTGGAGGGCTGAGTTTGCCTATGCCTTTCTTAAGGGTAGTAGCTGCTGTTCCTCTCTGCCCACACACCACTTGCCTGGCTGCCAGTTTCAGTAATGGGATTTTGCTTACCTGCAAAGCTGGAGCAACAGGTATGCTTCACCTGCTCTCTGCCTCTTCTTCAAATCACACACCTGGTGACAGAAAAGGACAGGGATGATTTCAACAGCTGCAAAGATGGCTCATCTTGAGATACCAGCAGAGCAAATGGTGGTTATGATTCCATAGCAGGATGTAGAATGGAAAGTTCTTCTGAATACCCCCAGGCTCTCTCCGATATGTAAAAACCTACCTTTTGCTTGAAAGTAGCCCTGTTTCACTTCGAAGCTGATTGTCACGGGGTCATCTTGGTTTGCGACTAAAAATAATGTCAGGCAGGAAGTCTGCTTGATGGCCTGAGTAATTATGATAATCAGATTTCCACCAGCATCTTTCCTCCCTGCTTACTTCACTGTGTTTCATTTGCATATTAATTAGCTGACTGTTGACTCAAAAACATCAAACATGTGGCATTTCTGCTGCTGCTCCAGTTCTGTTCTTTCTGACGTTCTTCAAAGATGGCTTTCAGTTTATTGACATCCCTGCAAGCTGTTTGGTTCACTGGTGAGAATGATGAACGTAACCTGAATCTCACGTGCGAGACTTTCTCATCTTGTAGAAAAATGGCTTTTCTTAATTTAAATTGAAAAGTTGCTCGTAGAGCCACACACGAACCTACTTAAGTCAGATCATGGATCCATGTGGCCCAGTGTTGCGTATACTCTGGCTGGCAAGAGCTTTCAGTTAGAGATCTTTTCCAGGGCTGGCCCTACCATTAGACAGGATGGGGCAACTGCAATAGGCAGTAGATGCAACAGGGGGGCAGGGAGCCGCAGCAAAGTGTTGGAGGGCAAGCTGCCCTCACATGTGTTAAATGAGGCTGTCCCATTGCCAGCGGGGTTGAAGTAAGATTCAGCTGCCAGTCTGGTCAGCCTCTCCACATGAGGTGGGAGAAAGCTGCCATATTGTCCTGTCTCAGGCAGCAAATGCCTTGGCCTGACCCCTGGTAGTCTCTTGAGCTTGGACAGTCCATTCTAAAGATTAACTAGTTCCGGTTCAAGTACAGCATGTAGAAGCAGGAACTAATTCCAGTTCTATTCGCAGTCAGTTCACAATTCATTTCGATCCTCGGCAATGAATATTTCAGCACTCAGAGTGTTAGCAGCTGCTTTGCTGAAGTACACAATATACTTAAGAAGACTAAGAAAACATTAAACATACGTGCAATGAAATGCAAACTGTTTAATTTATTTAAGCTTTTTATTGAGCTTAAATTATTATTATTATTATTATTATTATTATTATTACCCCACCCATCTGGCAGGGCTGCCTTCAGATGTCGTCTAAACGTTTGGTAGTTATTTTTCTCTTTGACATCTGATGGGAGGGTGTTCCACAGGTTGGGTGCCACTACCGAGGAGGCCCTCTGCCTGGTTCCCTGTAACTTGGCTTCTCGCAGCGAGGGAACCGCCAGAAGGCCCTCGGCGCTGGACCTCAGTGTCTGGGCAGAAAGATGGAGGTGGAGACGCTCTTTCAGGTATACTGGACCGAGGCTGTTTAGGGCTTTAAAAGTCAGCACCAACACTTTGAATTGTGCTCGGAAACGTACTGGGAGCCAGTGTAGGTCTTTCAAGACCAGTGTTATATGGTCTCGGCGGCCGCTCCCAGTCACCAGTCTAGCTGCCACATTCTGGATTAGTTGTAGTTTCCGGGTCACCTTCAAAGGTAGCCCCACATAGAGTGCATTGCAGTAGTCCAAGCAAGAGATAACTAGAGCATGCAAAAGGCCCAAAAAGTCGACAGAGTAACAACAACAACAACAACAACAACAACAACAGTAGGAAGAGGAACTTGAAGGCAAAACAAAAATGGTTCCAGGTTCTGTCATAAAATGAACTTAATACACATTTAGAAATTATGGGAACTACTTTCGGGTGTAGTTCTGGGATTTTTGAACTTTGCTAAACCAAACTAGTTCATTCTAAGCACCGGCCTTGTCAAATCCTATGATAGGGGGCATGGTTTTCATGAACAAAGTCCCAGGTTTAGGTCAAAACATCTTTATCACACACACATACACACACATGACAGAGATGCTTTGACTTAAACTGGGGACTTTGTGCATTAAAACCGTGCACCCTATCACTATTCTTATGGTCCCTTGGTTCCCATGCAATATCTTGGACAGCTCCACCTAGGAATAGGAAAGCCTCCTTATCCCTTATAAGTTAACAGGATATTCAAATGTATCACTTACAATATAAGTGATACATTCCTTCAGTCCGGACACTGAGGTCCAGCGCTGAGGGCCTTCTGGCAGTTCCCTAACTGCAAGAGGTGAGGTTACAGGGAACCAGGCAGAAGGCCTTCTTGGTGGTGGCACCTGCCCTGTGGAACGTTCTCCTATCAGATGTCAAGGACAACTCTCTGACTTTTAGAAGACATCTGAAGGCAACCCTGTATCAGGAAATTTTTAATGTCTAGTGTTTTACAATTTTTAATGTGCTGTAAGCCGCCCGAGTAGCTGGGGGAACCCAGCCAGATGGGTGGGGTATAAATAATAAAATTATTATTATTATACCACCCAAGATGTTTTGCTGCCTGAAGTGAAGGAGAAGATGCCCCACCCCCTACATTCTGCTTACAGAAGCAGCTAACCAGAATGGCAGTCAACTCTTCAGCACTGTTGAAGGAAACTCCATTCCATCTCAGAGCAGCTCCTTGTTAGCTAGGGCCACATTCACACCATATATTTAAAGCACTATGTTGCCACTTTAAACAGCATGGGTTCCCACAAATAATTATGGGAACTGTAGTTGGGTCCTGAGGGACGCAGGTGGTGCTGTGGGTTAAACCACAGAGCCTAGGACTTGCCGATCAGAAGGTCAGCGGTTCAAATCCCCGTGACGGGTGAGCTCCCATTGCTCAGTCCCAGCTCCTGCCAACCTAGCAGTTCGAAAGCACATCAAAGTGCAAGTAGATAAATAGGTACCGCTCCAGCGGGAAGGTAAATGGTGTTTCCGTGTGTTGCTCTGGTTCTCCAGAAGCGGCTTAGTCATGCTGGCCACATGACCCAGAAGCTGTACGCCGGCTCCCTTGGCCAATAAAGCGAGATGAGCGCCGCAACCCCAGAGTCGGTCACGACTGGATCTAATGGTCAGGGGTCCCTTTACCTTTACCTAGTTGGGTCCTGAGAGTTGCTAGGAAACGATGATGATCTATCCCTGCTTACAGGGAACTCTGGAAATTGTAGCTCTGAAAGGGAAATAGGGGTCTCCTGACAACTCTCAGCTCCCTTAACAAATTCCAGCTCCCAGAATTCTTTGGAAGAAGCTGTGATGGTTTAAAGTGACATCTTAGTGCTTTTAGTGCACCCTTTCCTGTCTCTCTTTCAATCCCCACCTCTCAAAATCTACCTGAGTCCTAATGGTAGGGCTGTCCCTGTGGTTGACAGATATGGCTGGCAATTGTTTCATGCTGCTCAAGGTCAACTCAGTGGGAAATGGCTCAATATTTGCTTTTTTAACCACTGTAGATTTCAGTTCTTTACCGTTGCTCTGCTTCTAACATAAACCACAAACGAATGCTTTTGCGTTCTGCCATCGATCATCAATATTTCCGACTTTATTTTTACCTTAGTTTCGCTTTCATTGCGATTTCTGTCACTGATAATCACCATTGTGTCATTTTCTTCACAAATAGCCACTCCTAAATATAGAGGGCACACTTTTTTCCCCCATGTCATACCGAAACTGTTAAAGGTGTGCATATCACGTGTGTTCCTGATATTGCCGCCACACAGATTATCTCTCAATTGTTCTGTCAGCACAAATAATGATAAACCAGCCGTTTTAATCTGCCTTGAGGCAGGATATGGAGGTCAAACCTTGAGGAGGCTCTTAACCTTCAGCCAAGATGGCTATGGTAGCCAACATGGGGAGTCTTTGGCTCTCCAGACATTGCCGGACCCCAACTCCCATCAGCCCCAACAAACATGGCCAATCACCAGGGGTGGTGGGAGTTGTAGTTCAGTAACATCTGGAGAGCAAAAAGGTCCTGACACCTGTCATATACCAACAGCAAACTCAGTTATCCAAGTGCCATTCCATATACTGCCAAAATGGGAACAAGAGGGAGGTTCTGGCTGTCTTGGCAGACCACTGAGACTTGTAGAAATAATAATAATAGTAATAGTAATAATAATAATAATAATAATAATAATAATAATAATAGAATCCTAAGGGATGGGGAGGCCAAACCAGCAATACGATAACAGAGCATGCAGGGGATGGGACAGGGAATGAAATGGAATATCCCAGAAAATACTCTGAGGTCACAAGCAACTAAGGTCCCTATTCTAGCACCATGTGATTTTATGGAAACAGTGGTGGAGATTCAGTAGCAAGGCTTCAAGCAACATTTGGGAGCTTCTGAGCATAGCTGTCAACTTTCAGATTTGAAAATAAGGGACCAGCAGCCTCGAAAATAAGGGACCAGTAGCCAAAATAAGGGATTTTAGTCAACCAGCTGAAATACGAAGTTAAAAGCAACCAGATAATTTGGCAGAGCAGTGCCGGTTTCTAGCCCTTCGTTTCCAGAGGTTGCTGCTCAAGACACCAGCCAATGAGACACTGCAATTAAATAACTACAAGCAGCAACCACTTTTCGCGCAAAACAAAGTCCAAGCTACGAAGATGCTGCTGCAGTTCTGTATCTTTTCTCTCGTGCTCCATCTGCAGCTCTCAGTTCCATCAGGTGGGGTGGGAGGAAGGAGGGGAAATAGCGCCCAAAGTAAACCCGCAGATCAAACCATCTATGCTAGTCTACCACTACAAATCTATGGGAGAAGTGCTTGCGGTCCTTCCCTTGTAGCCCTTGGAACACCTGCCCACGCCTCCGCCTCCGCCGCCTCCTCTTCCTCCTCTCTCTGAACTGCTTTCTCTATGGTTGCCCTCGCTCTCCTCTCAAGGCTCCTCAGCAATTCATAGGCCACGCCAGGCTGCCCATCTCATCCGGGTCCTTCGGCGGCGCAGCCGCAGTACGGCCTAGCGGGAGCGGCGGCGACAGGCAGAGGGGAGGCCCCAGGCAGAGACACTCTGCTCGGCAGCCGCGAGGAGGATGGTGGCAGAAGGGCCCAAGGCTCCCACCAGTCCCGGTGGGGAGGGGATCCCAGGGGCTGAGGCTGGTGAGAGGAGGCCGGAGGGGGGTGGGCCAGGCAGCCAAGAAACACAGTTGGAGCCTCCCTCCTCCCTGGCCGGCAGGGAGGGAGGGAGGGAGGGAGAGGAGCTGCTTCCTTTGAAACCCGGGAAATTTAAGGGACATCCATCAATAAGGGACAGCAGCAGGACATGGCGCTGGAATAAGGCACTGTCCCTCCAAATAAGGGACGCTTGGCAGCTATGCTTCTGAGTCGCAATGTGTATTAGGATGCCCTGTCAAATTTGAGCCAAGAATTGAAGTTCATTTTGGCTCATGCAGCTGTGTTGCAGTAAACCTTCCGTGGTAGAGTTAGTTGCCTTAAACTTTGCCCATGTTAAGTGAAGTGAGCGTGTGGGACAGACTGCTGCTGTTGACACCTGCAAGGTGGAGAAACTGTGACTCTCCAGATATTGTTGGAGTCCAACGCTGATCAGCCCTAGACAGCATGGCCACTGTTTAGGGATGGCAGGAGCTGCGGTTTAACAGCATCGAGAGACTCCATATCCCTAATACAGAATATATATATTTTTTATAATAATTTTTATTAAGTTTTCCATTTTAAAATCCAATCGCATCACATTAATTATTCCAAATTATACCAATACAGTGGTGCCCCGCAAGACGAATGCCTCGCAAGACGGAAAACCCGCTAGACGAAAGGGTTTTCCGTTTTGGAGGTGCTTCGCAAAACGAATTTCCTATGGGCTTGCTTCGCAAGACGAAAATGTCTTGTGAGTTCCTGCGGGGTTTTTTTCCTTTCCCCCCCCTTTTTCCCAAGCCACTAAGCCGCTTATCAGCTGATCCGCTAAGCCGCTTAACAGCTGATCCGTTAAGCCACTAAGCCGCTTATCAGCTGATCCACTAAGCCGCTTAACAGCTGATCCGTTAAGCCACTAAGCCGCTTATCAGCTGATCCGCTAAGCCCGCTAAGCCGCTAATAGCGCTAATCCGCTAAACCGCTAAAAAACCGCAAGACGAAGAGACTCGCGGAACGGATTCTTTTCGTCTTGCGAGGCACCACTGTACATACTATAAAGTCCAAATATTTTGCCAAATTATAATTTTTTTGTTGGGGGTTCCCATACTTCGAGTTCAGTAGGGTCCAATCATCTCATATTTCTGCTGCTTTTAGTGTTCACCAGTCCCATCTTTCAATCTTCTTGTTATTTCCTTCTTCTTCTTAATAGCCTCTGAGTTATTTCCACAGGCGAGTTAAAGTAAACAATATTATGCTTCTGTGTGAACTTTGTATGACTCTCCCTTTTTTTGAAGCTGGTAAGTCTTTTGTTTGCAATAAATCCTCACGCGTTGTTATTTAAGCCGAGTCCATCCAAAAGTCCTCCTCGGGTGGCAGACGCCATCTTTTTCAGTTCCGATGAAATAGAATCTAGGCGTTTGCTCATTAATTTTTCCAGACAAGTTGCACACATCAACCTTTCCAGGGAAGATTTGCCAAGTCGAACTTAAAATACAAACATGATAACAAAGTAGTGGCTCGCTTCCCCCTATGGCTATTAATCTCTGCAACATAGTCTGTCTCATAATGGCGGACCCCGATTAAATACTGCGTCACAGAAGAGCCTTTTATTTCTTTCCAGATATTTCGAAAAACAAAATACAGAATATTTTTAAAGGGATGAAAAGGGCTTAGTAGGGAGGACAACAAAGTGGGCTTCTTATTTTGTATTTTCTTGTACTTTGTCTCTCAAGTTTTCTGACTGAAACTGCTAAAAAGAGGGACTGATGTGATCTTCTGGGTTAGTCATTTTATAACATCTCCTTCCTTCATCGCAATCCAGGAAGGAAGTTGTATTTAACTGTACCACCTGTCATAACTAAGTAAAGGGACAAGAGTGAAGCAACAGAAATGGAGACAAGCATTTTACCACCTATTCTAGAAACCTGAACATCTACCTGAAGTGTACCAAGGGATTTTTAGCAACTGAGGTTTAAGAGAAGCTGTGCATTACTACTTTGTTTCGACGCCTGCCACATCTGCAGATTTAGTGTAACAACTGTTTCCTGAAAGAACACGATTCCTGACCCATCTTTGTTTTGCCAACTTTATTTGGTAAACAAAGCCTTCCTTGTTTGTTCAACTTCTGCGTTAAGACTCCAAATCACTGAGTTTTCCCAGAACCCCCAAAGAAAGCCTGTGGTGATTTAGAAATTCGATTAATTGGCGTACCCTGTGGTAGGTTCGCTACAGGTTTAACTGGGGGTAGTTAGCAGTGGGATCATGGTTGGATAGTGTTCTCGAAGCTACCAGCATGAGTTTGACCAAACTGTGGGAGGCAGTAGAAGACAGGAGTGCCTGACGTGCTCTAGTCCATGGGGTCACGAAGAGTCGGGCACGACTAAACGACTAAACAACAACAACAAAGCAGTGGAATCTGACTTAAAAGGCTTTAAAAGAGGAGTAGACAAAATCACTCCTCTGCCACTGATATCAGCAACAGTATGCCTCTGAAGACCAGTTTCTGGGAATAACAAGTGGGAATAGTACTATTGCCAGTGCCGGATTTACGTACAAGCTAAACAAGCTATACCTTAGGACCCCACTCTCTTTGGGGCCCCCAAAATATAAAAGGAAAACAACCACTGGATGTACAGTTCCCAAATAGAAGATAAAAAGCAAATAAAATAAAACCTACATACAGCAACAGTGTTTTGTGTTGTGTAGGCTCCTATGATGTAAGCCTGCTAGCCTGCTCCCTAAAATATCACTGGTTTGCTCATTTCTATATATAGGGTGCCTACATTGTGCATGGACTGGTTGCAACAATTGTTGTTGTTGTTTAGTCATTTAGTCGTGTCCGACTCTTCATGACCCCATGGACCAGAGCACGCCAGGCACTCCTGTTTTCCACTGCCTCCCGCAGTTTGGTCAAACTCATGCTGGTAGCTTTGAGAACACTGTCCAACCATCTCGTCCTCTGTTGTCCCCTTCTCCTTGTGCCCAATTCTTCGATGATCAGCCTTCTTTATGGTCCAGCTCTCACTTCCATACATCACTACTGGGAAAACCATAGCTTTAACTATACAGCCTTGCTGTGGCAAAGGGACTTGAATAACTCAGAGAAGCTATGAGCTATGCCGTGCAGGGCCACCCAAGATGCACAGGTCATAGTGGAGAGTTTTGACCAAATGTGATCCACCTGGAGCAGGAACCGGCAAGCCACTCCAGTATCCCTGCCAGGAAAACTCCATGGACAAAGACAACAGGTTGGATAAAATACGTATTTTGTTATGTGCAAATGACTTTAGATACCTATTAGGTCCATAAATTACCATATAGCATATATTCAGCACAAAAACCAGCGATAATTGTTGACAAAGGACAGCTGGACATATAAAGGGCCCCATTACCTTCAGTAGCTTAGGGTCTCATCAAACCTAAATCTGGCCCTGACTATTGCATTATGGTCCTTCCTATAAGGTCCTTGCCACAGACATCTGGTTGGTCGCTGTGAGAACAGAATGCTGGACCAGATGTGCTGCTGGCTTAATCCAGCAGGCCTCTTATGTTCGTAGCAGACTATGCGCAAAGCCAACATTTCACGTTTTACATACAGATAAGAACTTTGCATTGAATTGATTTCTCCAGGAACTGAGCAGGCCGGGTTTATTGTTGAAACGTGCCTGTGGTTAATAAAAACAGATCAGCTAAATGCAGATGACATCCAGTTTACTGTCAGCATAGTATCGATATCTGTCAGAGAAAAATTACAGCTCCTGGAACTCAGGAAACCATTATCTCAATACATCACATCGACATTATGGCTTCATCATCATCCTTTTATCTCATTAAGCATCTGGTCTTTGCAATGCAAGTAGGGAAGAACGAAAACAGTTCAACCGCAGCTCCGTGTCGGGGGCCTCCCCCTATATTGCTTACAAAGTCCCTTCCTCAAAACTACAGTTGCAATTTTTAAATCTAGACGGAAGCAACTGATTCCTACCCAGTCCCCATTTACTCCCTTTTAAAATCTTTTCTATGACAAGAATAGAACCCATGTTTTCTTTTTAATGGTCAATAAAACGATTATGTGGCATTAGGGATTTCTATAATAATGGCCAACTTAAGCAAAGGATAAGAAATCCTGAGGAATGTTAAATGAGCTGGAGCGCATAGTTTGAACAAGTTAGCTCCTTTATAGTAAAATGGTATCATTAAACAGCAAAGCAAGACGAGAATTAACGTCATTTGAAAACTTGTTTGTGGCACGTAACTTTAATGCCAAAGGACAGATTTAAATGGAAAAGTATATGGCACAAAGTGCGTGTGAAATCAGTATCATCAAAGATTCAAGAATCCTTTTTTAAAAAAAAATATCACTGGTTTGCTCTGGTTTAATATACTTCTTCTTAATTGTATTTCACTATTAATATACTTCTTCTTAATTGCATTTCAGTTCAACAATTACTTTGATAAAATGCATATTTTGTTGTGTGCAAATGGCTTGAGATACGTATTAGGTCCATAAATTACCATGTAGCATATATTCAACACAAAAGAACAGCAACAATTTGTTGTGGACAAAGGACAGCTGGACATATAAAGGGCCCCATTACCTTCAGTAGCTTAGGGTCTCATCAGACCTAAATCCGGCCCTGAATTAGCCACACAGGCTGGGGACAGCATCACATTGGCTACCATATTGCCAACCAAGAAGGTTTATGGCATTCCTTAAAAGGTAAAGGTACCCCTAACCATTAGGTCCAGTCGCAGATGACTCTGGGGTTGTGGCGCTCATCTCACTCTATAGGCCGAGAGTGCCGGCGTTTGTCCACAGACAGCTTCCGGGTCATGTGGCCAGCATGACTAAGCCGCATCTGGCGAACCAGAGCAGCGAATGGAAACGCCATTTACCTTCCCGCCGGAGCGGTACCTATTTATCTGCTTGCACTTGACGTGCTTTCGAACTGCTAGGTGGGCAGGAGCAGGGACCGAACAACGGGAGCTCACCCCGTCGCGGGGATTCGAACCACCGACCTTCTGATCGGCAAGCCCTAGGCTCTGTGGTTTAGACCACAGCGCCACCCACATCCCTGTATGGCATTCCTTACACTACAGTTAAATCAAATCCTCCAGAGCTTGGGTGCACTGTTGCCTGTGGGCACATTCAATTTATTGTGCATGTAATCTAAGACTAAACATCGGGGGGAGGAAGTTGTTCACGGGGGCAAGCTAGGTTCTGGGCTCCAGAGGCAAATCAATAGAATCAATCCTTAGAATTGAAATTTATTTCTGTATAGTTGCATGGCCGGGCTGTTGAGAATTACTGGGCTCTGACCTCCAGACCCAAAAGCAATTATGGTCACATTAAAGCATGAGGAGAAAGCCACATTCGTTCCCGGAATGAAGCAATCAGGACAGGGCCAATTTGGTGAGGTAATAGAGCAAATATTTGCTCAGTGACTCTGAATTTGGAAATAATTAGCTGAAGCTGGTCAGTGGCGGAAATAAGAACACGGAAAGCCATTTAAAGCGCTTTGGTTTTTTGCAGGCATCAGTTCATTCAGCCCAGGAAACTGCTGTTTCGCCATAAATTGATCTTTAATGGCAGAATCACTCAGAATAATTTGTGACTACCCATAGACATTATTGCATTTAAAACAGATCTCTCACAATTTCGAAACACACACACAGTGACTCACTCTTTTGATTTGTGTTGTTGCTGTTCTAACAACTTCCTTAACAACTGGTATCATTATTGAATCTGTTGAAATATTATAGACCTATGAGTAAATGAGCGAAGAAAAGTGTATGAAGATAAATACTTAAAGAAGAACAAGAAAGAAATAGAGGGGGGAAATTAAATAAATTATTTTTTGTACTTTTATTGCTATGTTTAAGTTTATGAATATTTCAGAAAAGAAAGTATTGATAATATTTCTATTTCTTTCTCCACCTGCAATGTCAGCTGCTTGTAGTTATAGTATATTCATGCCTCAGTGTATCCAGATGCCTATATATTATACGGGTGTGCTTCTCACTGAAAATTGCTCTTTCCCTAATTAGAATATTGGTTCTCAGAAGAAATGATTTTATTTTATAGATGTTAATTTTTATACCCTGAAGCTTTACTGAACATATCCAATGTACTAAACATTGTATTAATTGATTTCTCCAAATTAGTCAGGAAAAGTACATCATCTGCATATAAAGAATCTTTACACTCCGTATTACTATGTTTTATTCCTGAAATTTGGTTAGTCATCCATACCTAATTGACAAGAAGCTCTAAACAAATTGCAAACAGCAGAGGGGACATCCAGCAGCCTTATTGCATCCCACTCTGAATTTTAATTATTGGTGATAAATGGTTATTTACATAGATTTTTGAAAAGGGATTACAGATACAGAAGATGAATCCAAATTTAAATGGCTTACATTCATTTCTTGCAAAGTTGTCACCTGAAAATTCCATTCAAAGCTGTCAAAAGTTCAATACAACCAATCACTTTTTGATGTTCATTTGACTTGTCTTCTATTTTGTACATGATCATGTACTTGAAAATAATATTGTTTAGTCTGTTTTCTAAAAGAGATGACCAGATATTTATGTCTTGATTCAATAAACTGAAGCTCAATCCAGATATGGCTGCTAGTCGGTGGATCCCTAGACATGATGGATGGGAGATTGCCTGCTCTTGATGGGGTTACACTTCCTTTGAAGGAGCCAATACGTAGCTTGGGGGTCCTTCTGAATCTATTGCTGTCACTTGAGGCTCCGTGGCCCATAGTGTCTCATACCCTCACCCAGTTTAGTCGGGCAGCCAAAGCTGTTTCCAGGATTGTGGCCACTGCCACATGCTGACAGCTTCTAGGAGCCACAGGTGAGAGCTGAGTGCTGGGTGGGGACCAAGGGTTTACAAACTACCCCAGAAAGACCACACCAGAGGTACCACTCCTCCCTAACAACTCTCTCACACACAGTAACACATGTACAGTCATACTTCGAGTTACAGACTCTTCAGGTTGCGCTTTTTCGGGTTACGGACCTGCCGAAACCCGGAAGTACTGGTCGCGCATGCGCAGAAGCGCTAAATCACGTTTTGTGCATGCGCAGAAGAGCCGAATCACAACCCGCACGTGCACAGATGCGCTGCTGCGGGTTGCGAACATGCATCCCGCATGGATCATGGTCGCAACCCGAGCGTCCACTGTATTTTGAAGGATGTCTGTGGCTTGCTTGACATATTGTTTCAGGAAGTGTGAGTTAGGCAGATTTGCATTAAAAGGAGAACTGAACCAAATTTATTTCCCATCCCTAGTTGGAAGACAGAGCTGGGTACCCTCTGGCCTGCCCTGAGTCCCCAAACTAGCCTGCTGCCCCCCCTTAAAAAATGGGGCAAAGGGGTTCCACTCAGTGGTCTGTGCTGAAAAAACAAGTCAACTAACAGCCCCATCAGATTCTGTATTTAGGAAGTCACGATACTGATAACAAACAACAACTTGTTCTTAAGTTAGGATGGCTGAAATCCAAGATGTCAGATTTATGGATCTTATATCAAAGTGCCAATAATGGCTGCTGTTGAGGAGGGGGCAGTCTCAAGGGCATTTTAAACTGTGTTTATAAAAGAAGTTACTGCACAGTGCTCCATGCAAAAGAGTATTTGGGTAATTAGTTGAAACATATGATCATAGCTGTCAACTTACAGATTTGAAAATAAGGGACCAGCAGCCTCGAAGATAAGGGATCAGCAGCCAAAATAAAGGATTTTCCCTGCACAGGTATGTTCAACTTCTGAGCCCCTCCAAGCCAAAGGCAGAAAGCCCAGCCAGCAGCCAAACGAAGCCTCAAGCAGTGGTTCCCACAGTGCAGCAACCCAGCAAAGGGGATGCAGCAAGGAAAACCACCGTCACCTCTCCGCTGGGAAGCGCTGAGCAAAGGCGAGTCCCCAGGCAACGCGGCCGATTTGATCGGCACAAGGCATGCAAGCTCCACCCCCCATTCGTTCTTAGACTCCTTATTGGGTGAGCAAAGCAGCCAAGCAACACAGTTGGAGCCTCCCTCCTCCCTGGCCGGCAGGGAGGGAGGGAGAGGAGCTGCTTCCTTTGAAACCCAGGAAATTTAAGGGACATCATCAATAAGGGACAGCAGCGGGACATGTTGCTGGGATAAGGGAGTTTCCCACCAAATAAGGGACAGTTGACAGCTATGCGTATGATCATCACTGTAGGCAACAACATTCAGAACAAGCCCAAATAAATCCAGAACAGAAGCAGACTCTTGCTTTAAGAGTTCCTTGCAAAGGAAGTCTAAGAGAGTGTGAATACCAAGAAAACAATGTACTGCTTGTACGATTCCTGCCTTAATAGACCCAATTTAGCAACAAGAATTGTTTAGAATGCAGTGCACATCTGTCACCAACAGATGGAGTACACAGGCCATACAATAAATGTGCTCATCAACTTCGGAATATTATAGCAATAAAGACTTGGCATCGTACAGACCATGTTATTTGGAGCTCTCAAGAGGGGAAACTATAGCAATAATTCATTAATGGGAACTGTTGCACTTGAGTGTTTTAGAACTTGGACCCCCGATATAGCCAGCAGGAATTTTGAGGGAATTTTCGCCAACAAATCTTAGAGGAATTTGAAACGATTGTGCCTGGCAGTATTTAGCTGCACTTGGACTGAACTTTGGCCTCCTGCTGCTGCTACGCCGCCAGAGCACGATTTCTGTTCTCATCCTGAAGCAAAGTTCTTAACCTGAAGCACTATTTCTGGGTTAGCGGAGTCTGCAACCTGAAGTGTATGTATCCTGAAGCGTATGTAACCTGAAGCGTATGTAACCCGAGGTACCACTGTAACAGGTTTCCTGCAGGACAGGATTCTGCTGTAGACGGCCCCTTCTGTGATGTATGTATGATGTATTGGGGGGGGGTTGTCTTGAGCGACAGGGTGGCAATTTCAAAAGTCTATATAAGGGCTTGCACACTGTCAGGGAACTGACATCGGAGCTAGAGGTGGAGGGAAGGCTCTCTAATGATGCTGGAGAAGGGCCCAGCAGGGAGAGAGGCAGCTCAGCAGATGGGGAAGCAATTCAGTGCAACACCAGGAATAAGGAGGGGCAGATGGGGGAATCGGCGAGAGGGCTCCAGGACTCTTCACCGGACACCAGCGGGGAGAGCACTGGTCCTCCGCTACCCACACCCTCCCTGCGCAGAAGACTTCCGCCCAGAGAAAGTAGGAGAAGACTGGGTGTCAAACAACTTTTATGTTGGAAAGGGTTTAAGAAACGCCCACTGACGGATTCTGCTAGTGACTGAGGCAGCCACGAATTGAAGGGCTGTCCAGACAGAAAGGTTTAACAAGGCAACATAGCCAGGAGAGGCGGCAACTTACGCACGAGCAACCCCATACCATTATACACACCATTGTTCTGGGTTCCTCCTCTGCGTGGGGCGGGCACCCTGTTGCAACAGTTTAATAAAGAACAGGCTTACTAGCTGCTTTGCTTCTCAATATTCTCTGGTTGGCCTCTCTTATTTTCTCCTCCCAATAGGGAACTCACTTAAGGACTCTATACGGGCTCTTGGATACCCCATAAGGGAAAAGGAGCAGTTTTTTCTTACAACCTTGTTTCAGTAGTGACAAGCTAGTGACAGCATTAGCGTTGCTGACTTGTGCTACTCCAGCCCTGCAGTCCAATTGTTTTTTGAAAACAATTTCCACCAGCCCCAGGTAGTAGCACGTTTCAGGAGGAGCTGCTACCACTTCAAACATATGCCCAAATCTATCATTTATAATGTCTCCGCTCCTCAGTATTTTAATGCCCATGCTAATCGAGGTAATTTCGTCTGTCGGCTGCAGAACACAATGAAGGGAAATATGCCTTCCAAAATTGGGAAATCAGAGAAAAATCTCCCAGTCATTTTGATTCGTACTGTGCGCACAGTGACTTGCAATTATTGGAGCAGACGAGGATTCTGGGTACTGGAGAATGCAGCAAGTAATTTAAAATAATGACAGGTCTGGTTTCATCCTGAAGAGGAAGAGAACTCTCCAGAAGGCCATTAGGGAAGTGTTGTAACCGAGTCGTTTTCTCCCCCCCCCCCCGCCCCAAGTATATTATTCTTTTAATTGGATTTCGTTACAAGCAGTATTAAATTAGTCACTTTATATTATGTTTATGCTGCCTTGGATGTGTAAATGTAGAGATCCGTTTCTTTCTTTCTGGGGATGGAGGGAATAAAAGCCAGGAAGCACTCCGGTTTCCAACTTGGGTGGACTGGAAGTAAACCAGTAAAAAAGGGATTGAAACCAACCCCAGAAGTCAGAAAAAGGACGTTAGGAGACGCAACAGCAGCCACAGGCTCCAACTCCTTGCTGAATGTCAGAATATTCAGGACAGAGGGATGTATTCTGTTATGTACTGAAATTCTCACCCTGGGCCAGCAGGGGGATACTGTAGATAGTTATCATAGCTGTCAACTTACAGATTTGAAAATAAGGGACCAGCAGCCTTGAAAATAAGGGACCTGCAGCCGAAATAAGGGACCTGCAGCCTCACCTGTTCCAGGCACTCCAGTCTTCCTGTCCTTCTGCAGTCTGGTCAAACTCATGCTGGTAGCTTCGAGAACACTGTCCAACCAACTTTGTAACCAGAGGTTCAACTGAATAGAATCTGAATCACATGCACCACAAGGCCTGTGCAGCCTCAGCTTAAGATGGCTCCCCAGCTTGGCTTTGCACTGCAAAGTTTGCAGCAGCACGTGCAACAAAATGGCGTCCAGCATTCAAAAAACCCCTCAGCTTGCATTAACTAGCCACACACAAGGCATGCAAGCTCCACCCCCCAGTCGTTCTTAGACTTCATATTGGGTGAGCAACACAGCCAAGCAACACAGTTGGAGCCTCCCTCCTCCTTGGCAGGGAGGGAGGGATAGAAGCTGCTTCCTTTGAAATTTAAGGGACATCATTTAAGGGACATTTAAGGGACATCCATCAATAAGGGACAGCAGCGGGACATGGCGCTGGCATAAGGGACTGTCCCTTCAAATAAGGGACACTTGACAGCTATGATAGTTATGCAAATAAGGGATCGAAAATGACGTTCAGTGATTGGATAGTTTTAGAAAATTGTTACAGTTACACTGTACTGCAGCTCTATATAAGCAGGCTAAATGAACCCTTCAGTTCAGTTCTGTTCTGGCCTGTGAATAAACAAGAGCTGTTTGAAGAATCGCTGTGTCGTCTGATATGTTCACCCACAACTAACATATTCCTTCCTGGGGGCACAGCGAGAGCTCATTCACTTCAGATTGGGTCCTGTGGCATCAGCTAGTGGCGATAAAGGGTTGAGGGTGTTGCTGAGAGAAGCTCCAGGAAGGAATGGGTTTTTTTCCTGATCTTCTATGAGATGTGTCAGAATCTCAAGTGGGTTTTTAGATCCACACATTTCCTTTGACTCGAGGGGCTGTCAAAGGATTTAAGCAGAAGGGAGAGATACGCTTTTAACAATGGTATGCTTAGGATGGTTGTTTCAGGTGATCAAGGAGCAGCCACTGAGAAATAATCCAGCTTCTTGGTTTAATTATTGGATGCATTTAGATTATTCAGTGGTTCAGATTCAGTGTTTAAGAGCTCACAGCGCTGTCTGTCTGTTAGAGTTTAGAGCGGCATTGTGAATAAATAGACACAGTATATTTTAACAGAGCAGATGTGCTGCTATGGTTACAAGACAGCTGGGATCTCTATTCTAAAATAGTGGACTAGTGGGACCTATTGCAAAACTATATTTCATTTTCCTTGTGGAAGGTTACTCATACTAGTACAATTTTTCTTTTGTTTCAACTGCAATTCCCCCTCCCCCCAATTATTAAATTGTCTTATGCTATGACTTCGATATCCTCAGTCTGCTTATGTGAGAAATTATATTATGGACACAAAGGATGTGGGAATGAATGAGATAACAATAATTCATGGTAAATCTCAGCTATTGACATAGCTGTCAACTTACAGATTTGAAAATAAGGGACCAGCAGCCTCGAAAATAAGGGATCAGCAGCCAAAATAAGGGATCAACAATTACTTTGATAAAACACATATTTTGTTGCGTGCAAATGGCTTTAGATACCTATTAGGTCCATAAATTACCATATAGCACATATTCAACACAAAAAAACAGCAACAATTTGTTATTGACAAAGGACAACTGGACATAGAAAGGGCCCCATTACCTTCAGTAGCTTATTTTAGGGACATCATCAATAAGGGACAGCAGCGGGACATGGCGCTGGGATAAGGGACTGTCCCACCAAATAAGGGACGCTTGACAGCTATGGCTATTGAGATGGGAAGATTTGATTACAAGGCTGCAACACGCAAACCCACACACCTAGGATTGAAACAAGTGTTTGTTTTCTTTGTATTCCTGTTGCTTATAGGGTAGTTTCAGGATCTGGGAGATGAAACTCAAGCAGTTCAGTGCTGTTTCTCTTACATCTGTGAAGTACCATTATAGCAAAATACCCTCATCCAGAAAGCATCCCTACATTGCTTGAAGTGTTGCTGAGCTATCGTTATTCAGTCTTTGCCTGAAAAGGACAGGTACTCCCTTTTTATCCTATAGCAGGGGTGGGTAATGTTTTCTGGTCCTGGGGGCTTAAGTGGCACCTTCCAGGCCCTGAGGGGCCACTGGTCAATGTTGGGCGTGACCCCAAAGTGGACATGGCTGCCCCATAGCTGGCCTCGGGCTTGTGGTTTACTGCCCCAGCACTAAATTCTGCATTTGTTGCCATGTAATGCATGGTGCATCTATGGAGAGGCCTTTTCTGAATATGTAAGGTAAAGGGACTGCTGACCATTAGGTCCAGTCGTGACCGACTCTGGGGTTGCGGCGCTCATCTCGCTTTATTGGCCGAGGGAGCCGGCGTACAGCTTCCGGGTCATGTGGCCAGCATGACTAAGCCACTTCTGGCAAACCAGAGCAGCGCACGGAAACGCCGTTTACCTTCCCGCCAGAGCGGTACCTATTTATCTACTTGCACTTTGATGTGCTTTTGAACTGCTAGGTTGGCAGGAGCAGGGACCGAGCAACGGGCGCTCACCCCATTGCGGGGATTCGAACCGCCGACCCTCTGATAGGCAAGTCCTAGGCTCTGTGGTTTAACCCACAGCGAGACATGGCTTAATTCAGGACAGTCTGTTGGGGACAACTCTGTGCTCAAATGTGCTGAACAGAGCCTAGGGATGGGCACATTTTTCCAAACCTAATTGTCGTAACAGTTTTCAGGTTTTTTCAAAGCCCTCATGGAAATTTGCCTGCTTTTGGTGCTAATTCCGCCTAAATTCTCCTACTATGTGTATGCAATGTTGCATTTCTGCAAAAGGCAGCCCTTGGCTCCTGATTGGCAGCTGGATTGCCAGTTTTTTTCCCCCCCGGGGGCTTAAACTGGACCCCTGTGCCTCTAGGTGGTGAACCTTCCTAGCGCAGGCACACATTGCCTGTGAGATCTTCCCTCCCTCTCGCTGCTCTGCTCACCTTACCCAACAAAACAGCATCCTTTTATTTCCTTCCCACCCCTTGCAGTCTTCCTCTGTGCCTAGTCCAAAACTAGCCTCCGATTTTGCTGTGCCAAAGCAAAGAAAGGGCAGGCATGTTTCAGTTGCTAGGCAACTTTGGGGCAAACATGGCACGACACCTCTGGATTTATCCCGATGACAGCAGGAGGAGGAGGAGAGGGAACAAATATCAGATGCTCAACACATTCCAGTGATGCAACTTCTTGTGCCACATCCCATATTGTCCACTAGAAAAGCTGTGCCAGCGCAGCATTGGAAAATGCATTATTCATGTGTATTTAAATCCAGATTCCGGAGGTATTGTGAGCTTGCCAAAATTGCCACCTCGGTCACATCTTTAGGTAGATTTAAGACTCCTAGCTCTTGGGCACCATGTTAATTCTGAGGAGAATTGGATTACAGGCCACACATACCCAAGTATTAGGAAATGCACACAAGACGAAAAACAACAAACCCTAGCCTGCTATAAAAAGATCAAATATTTCCACTTCTGCAGTGTGTTTACGACTGGAAAAAATGTGTTGGAGATGATTCAGTAGATTGAGGTGTGATTATATTATTCACTGTAACCGCAAGCCAGAGCAAACAGTCTTCTGTGGAACTCTTAAGTGTGTGGGTGTCTTTTCCTTCAACCCAGACTCAGTGAGAAGAAATGATTTAAAGCAATAGGGCTTTAAAGCCACTTGGAAGCCATGTTTAGGGGCCGGTCCTATACCAAAGAAGAGCCAATGGCTGAGAGGCGACAGGACTTGGCAGAGCTCCAGGCACACTGCTGCCAAGACAGATACGCTAGATAATATCACCAAGGTAAATAAGCAAACAATAAACATCCATAAAATGGCAAAAGTAGCTTCTTTCCCAAATAGGTTTTATCTTAAACAATTGCAAACACAGTAAATGAAGTGTTTGCTTGTAATATATCAACAACAACAACAATCTTTATTACGGTCCAGAGACCCAACAAATCGTTACAAAGCAATACACAATTCATACAGCCTACCTCCAGGTTAAACAAGCATTTTGTTCAGAATATAGGGATCATTGGTTCTTGCAACCACCGATAAAAACTTTGCCACTGCTAGTGTTCTAGCATTTGTCCGGTCTTCCAATAGGAACCTGACATAGTGAGCCTCTGATTTTCCAGGGAAAGGTACCAGCAAGGGTAGTATCATTTCAGCCCTGGCTTGCTCGTATTTTGCACAGTGCAACAAAATATGTTTTATGGAATTGATGTATTGAGCACATGAGCAAAGTCTGTCCTGGTAGGGAACTCCTCTCAACCTGCCATCCAACACTGCAGAAGGAAAGATGTTTAGTCTGGCTTTGGTGAAAAGCCTTCAATAATTTGGTACTGTCAGGTTTTTAATGTAAGATGTTAACTTAAAGACATGCCCATATTGTACTCCTACTGCCAGCGGACTACAGACTGCGTGTGATCGAGATCGCAAGTCACTGTGTGCATTATCCCATAATCTTTGTAATATATCAGTGGTTCAGTGCTCATTTCTTCTCTTTCCAAAATAGGTTTTATCTTGAACAATTTCAAAGGCAGTAATAAATAGTCCACTTGTGATATACCGGTGGTTCAGTGCTTGGACATCGTTTCGGTAATCCGATGTTTCATTGCTAAAGAGCTTAGTCATCGAGCTTTGTAGTAAATAATCCACAAGAGAAGGAAGTATGTTGGGAGCAGAAATGTCCCTGCTTTAAGTTGTCTACATACTGTCTTCTCTTGTATATTATTTACTACAAAGCTCGATGGAAATCATTTACTATGTTGAATTTATCTCAATGCTGCCAGCGTTTTCAGCTGTATACAGTTATTTTCCATATATCCAACAAATGTTTTCCAGTCTTCTTTAAACATATATTCTAGATGTTAAATCTGCAAATTGTGCATATTCTGTCAACTTAAGTTGCCAATCCTCTTTGGTTGGGACCTCGCTCACTTTCCAATTGGGGGCGAACAAAACACGGGCCGCAGCTGTTGCATACATAAACAACCTTTTCTGACACCTGGGAATTTCAGTCTGGGTTAAAAGGTAAAGGGACCCCTGACCATTAGGTCCAGTTGTGACTGACACTGGGGTTGCGGTGCTCATCTCGCTTTACTGGCCGAGAGAGCTTCCAGGTCATGTGGCCAGCATGACTAAGCCGCTTCTGGCGAACCAGAGCAGTGCACAGAAACACCGTTTACCTTCCCGCTGGAGCAGTACATAATTATCTACTTGCACTTTGACATGCTTTCGAACTGCTTGGTTGGCAGGAGCAGGGACCGAGCAACAGGAGCTCACCCTGTCGCGGGATTCGAACCGCCAACCTTCTGATCGGCAAGTCCTAGGCTCTGTGGTTTAACCCACAGTGTCACCCACTTCCCCAGTCTGGGTTATCCTCCAACAAAAAGGACCCTGGAGTTTTTTCAGGAAAGTAATTGTAAATATTTTTTTCAATTCATTATAAATCATTTCCCATTGTCTTCTCCCTCTCAGAGTGGCTGGAAAGTGAAACTGCGCAGCCTCCAGATCTCTGAGTATAGGTTCTCTGCGATGTAAAAACCTACCCAAAGATCTACCTATCCACTAAGAATGTCATTGCTGGCGCAGTCTAGGGAGAGCTGTTTCCATGGACTTCTCATTTTCCTGCCACCTTTATATTTCCCAGCTGTAAAATTTACCTTACCCCCCACCCCTCCCATGCTGTTGTTGTTGTTTAGTCGTTTAGTCATGTCCGACTCTTCATGACCCCCTGGACCAGAGCACGCCAGGCACTTCTGTCTTCCACTGCCTCCCGCAGTTTAGTCAAACTCATGCTGGTAGCTTCGAGAACACTATCAAACCATCTCGTCCTCTGTCGTCCCCTTCTCCTTGTGCCCTCCATCTTTCCCAACATCAGGGTCTTTTCCAGGGAGTCTTCTCTTCTCATGAGGTGGCCAAAGTACTGGAGTCTCAGCTTCAGGATCTGTCCTTCCAGTGAGCACTCAGAGCTGATTTCCTTAAGAATGGAGAGGTTTGATCTTCTTGCAGTCCATGGGACTCTCAAGAGTCTCCTCCAGCACCATAATTCAAAAGCATCAATTCTTTGGCGATCAGCCTTCTTTATGGTCCAACTCTCACTGCCATACATCACTACTGGGAAAACCATAGCTTTAACTATACAGACCTTTGTTGGCAAGGTGATGTCTCTGCTTTTTAAGATGCTGTCTAGGTATGTCATTGCTTTTCTCCCAAGAAGCAGGCGTCTTTTAATTTCATGGCGGCTGTCACCATCTGCAGTGATCATGGAGCCCAAGAAAATGAAATCTCTCACTGCCTCCATTTCTTCCCCTTCTATTTGCCAGGATCTTCGTTTTTTTGATGTTGAGCTTCAGACCATATTTTGCGCTCTCCTCTTTCACCCTCATTAAAAGGTTCTTTAATTCCTCCTCACCTTCTGCCATCAAGGTTGTGTCATCTGCATATCTGAGGTTGTTGATGAGCATGCATTAAATGTAGCAGTTGTTCCACTAGCAAAGCGGAGGCAGAATATTTCGGGTCTGAAAGCGCACATAGCTCAATAGCCTGAGTGGAAAGGAGCTAAACCTTCACCACGAACTTCTTTTGTTATTGCATCACATTCCAGTGTGTTCGATTCCTGTCCATTCCAAAAATAAAGCAGATTGTTACATGTTGCCAATAGGCCTGGTGAAGGAATATTGAGGTGCTTCCAGATAAACCAGCCTTTTGGCAAACTCAAAATAAATATATTCTATTGGTGTTAAACTGATTCATGTATCCCTCGTTAGTGCAAAACATGAGCACCACGTCTGACAGACCTATAGTTAGAAGATTATATTTCTCTCATGGCCATTTTTAAAGTTGGCAGTTTTCTTTCTTGGTTTCTAGAGGGAAATCAAAATATCTGGCATTTATTAATTTGATTGCACAACCTACAATACATTGATGCCTACCTCCCGAAAAGGCTCTGTAAATCAAAACCCCCATCCAAAGCATTCTTAATCAGGATCTCGGAGTATGTGGGAAGGCAGGAAAAAGAAGGAGAAAGTTTTTATGGAAGGCTGAACTATCTGCCTAGGGATCTAGTCAGGAATGAGGGTTGCCAGAGAGAGATGCTTGTGATTTTCCACTCCCCAGGCAGAAACTTTGTATATGGGTAAGTGTCCCGAACCATGGGTGGCGCTGTGGGTTAAACCACAGAGCCTAGGACTTGCTGATCAGAAGGTTGGCGGTTCGAATCCCCGCGATGGGGTGAGCTCCCCTTGTTCGGTCCCAGCTTCTGCCAACCTAGCAGTTCGAAATCACGTCAAAGTGCAAGTAGATAAATAGGTACCGCTCCGGCGGGAAGGTAAACGGCGTTTCCGTGTGCTGCTCTGGTTCACCAGAAGTGGCTTAGTCATGCTGGCCACATGACCTGGAAGCTGTCTGCGGAAAAACGCCGGCTCCCTCGGCCAATAAAGCGAGATGAGCGCCGCAACCCCAGAGTCGGTCACGACTGGACCTAATGGTCAGGGGTCCCTTTACCTTTACCTTTAAGTGTCCTGAACAGGAAGCAAGTTTGTGGCTGTTACTGTCAGAACCAAAAAACAAGAAAGAACACCCAACCATTGACTTAATTGTGAAAGTCCCATGGACTGCAAGAAGATCAAACCTGTCCATTCTTAAGGAAATCAGCCCTGAGTGCTCACTGGAAGGACAGATCTTGAAGCTGAGACTCCAATACTTTGGCCACCTCATGAGAAGAGAAGACTCCCTGGAAAAGACCCTGATGTTGGGAAAGATTGAGGGCACAAGGAGAAGGGGACGACAGAGGACGAGATGGTTGGACAGTGTTCTCGAAGCTACCAGCATGAGTCTGACCAAACTGTGGGAGGCAGTGGAAGACAGGAGTGCCTGGCGTGCTCTGGTCCATGGGATCACGAAGAGTTGGACATGACTAAATGACTAAACAACAACAACAAAAATAGAATCATAGAATTGTAGCACAGGCCCTCAAAGTGTCACTATTTTCCAGGGACATTCCCGGATTTACAGAAGCCGTCCCAGTTTCTGATTTGAGCCTGGAATTTCCCACTTTTCCTTACAACATCCCTATCTTCACCGGAGAAATGTTGGAGGGTATGGTAGCATTGGAAGGAAGCCATGAGGGTCATCAAGTCCAACCCCCTGTGATGCAATAATCTTTTTCCCAGTGTGAGACTCGAACCCATGACCCTTAAATTAAGACTCTCATGCTCTATTGATTGAGCTATCCTGAGCCATGAAACTAAACCAACCGCTGCTATTACAGTGGTACCTCGAGTTACAAACACCTCGGGTTACAAACACTTCGGGTTACAGACTCCACTAACCCGGAAGTAGTACCTCGGGTTAAGAACTTTACCTCAGGATGAGAACAGAAATCGTGTGGCGGCAGCAGAAGGCCCCATTAGCTAAAGTGGTACCTCAGGTTAAGAATGGTTTCAGGTTAAGAACGGACCTCTGACACGGATTAAGTTCATAACCAGAGGTACCACTGTATTATTATTATTATTATTATTATTATTAAATTTATATACTGCCTTTCATTCAAGGATGACAGGGCAGTTCACAACATACAAAATGAGAACACATAACATAAATAGCATAACAAACAATACAATACACACACACCCAGACACAGTTTTACGAGCCACAGATTGTTTAGTTCACCATCAGCCTGGATGAACAGGAATGTTTTCGCTGGCACTTCAAGATATGTAACGAAGACACCAGGCGAACCTCCCTAGGGAGATACAATAACTCAAGTGCAATTCAGAGTTCTAGTGCTGGTGGGGTTTTTTAATGAGGAATATATTACTGTGGGGTATTAGTATGCATGCATGCAACATGCAGCTGTTATTCCGATCTGCTTGCCAAAATCACATATATTCTTTGGAGAAGTGTTTCCGCCTCAGCCCTAAACAAATGCACTAATAATATATATATAACTGCGTACACAACCTGAAATGCGCCCATTGTCACGCTCGAAATGTTTGGTTGTGGCTAGAAGTAATAATATCCCCCAGTTTTCAGTGGTTTCTTCCTGATTTGACCGGAGCAGCCATCATGCATTAACGTTGCAAATTGGAGGCCTCGTTACATTAATGAACTCTACCTTGGGCTGTGCTCCAAAAGTCTCCTGCAAGGTCACATCTTGTCCAGAATAGGCCAGTCCACAGTTGAATGGAATTGTGCTATCAGGGGACCTCACATGTGCTATGACTGGCTACTTGGACCTGCACTGACTTTGGCTGTGTGTGAAACATACATTTAAAGCACATTTATAGTTCATTCCCCTCCATCCCCACCGCCAAGAATCCTGGGAGCTGTGGATGGAATTCAGCACCACACACTTCTGATCACTTTGTGTGCTGGTCCTGAGGGTTAACCGTGCGGTGAGGTCCGAGTCCAGTCCGAGGTCAAGGGTGCGGTATGGAGGCTGTCCGGCAAAGCTGAAGCTGGGTCCAAGGTAGGGAGTCGGGTGAGGTCAGGAACTCTGGCAGAAGAGCAGGACAAGGTGCAGGCAGGAACAGGCTACCAACAATGTTGCTCCCGTAACCTGGGAATGGGACTGGCTGGCTTTTATCTGCCCCGAGGCATAGGGTGGCCCCGATCCACAGGTGACTTGCCTCTCCTGGCCTGGAGGCGAGCACTCCTCCTGCGGGAACTTAGTTCCCTCCGCCTCTCTGCCCTGAGCCTCTGCAGCTCAGGAGAGGCTGGAGGGTTACTGGACCCAGAGGCAACCTCATCCTCCTCTGATGGGGCTAAGAGTGGAGCACCTGCAGGCAATGGGTCCTCCATCACCTCAGGAGCCAGAGCAGACTCAGTTGATGCCTGCACCTGAGGATCCAGCACAGGTGAGGACCCTTCAGGCTCAAGCCCCAGCCCCAGCTCAGCTGGTTCTGGAGGCAGGGACTCCTGTGCAGGCTGGGATTCCTCAGGTTCAGCCTCCGAGTCTGAATCCCAGGCCATCACACCTTGCCAGTGGAAGTATTTCCACTTGCCAGAAGAAACTATCAGAGCCGTCTTTTCCATAGGGCTTAGTGGTGTGTTGCGCCAGGGCGCCGGCCTCTCAGGGGCGCCCCAGCAAGTGGGGGAGCTGCGCAGCTTTGCCGGCGGCCTCCCCTTTCCCTGCACGCCCACCAGCTGCGCCCCGTCAACCATAAGGCTGGTGGGCATGCAGCTTCCCTCCCAAGCCTCCTCGGGAGGAGAGCGATCCCCGCAGAGGCTTAGGAAGGAAGCTGCACACCACCAACCATATGCGCAGCTTCCCTCTAAAGCCTCCCAAGCCTCTGCAGGGATCGCTCTACTCCTGAGGAGGCTTGGGAGGGAAGCTGCACTCTCCTCCCGTGGAGGCTTGGGAGGGGCACAACTTCACTCCCAAGCCTCTGTGGGGATCGCTCTCCCACAGCAGCATAGGGGAGAGTTGTGCCCCCAGATGGCTGGCAGTGCACAGCTACAGCTCCCCCAACACTATCCATGGTAATTTGGGGGCACTGGGTGGATATTTGCACCCCGGTGTTGCATCTGCTAAAGACGGCCCTGGGAACTATCCCCCTCTTCCCCCACCCCTGTTCTGGGGGTCCTCATGACCCTCCAGAGTGAAATTGGAGGAGTTCAGAGGGTGCCCAGGGGGAGCAGAGGGAGAAAGATCCATTGCGCTAGCCTGCCAGCACCCCAGGTGAGTAACAAACCCTTGTGATGGCTTCTGCCAGCACTCCATCTGCTCTGAAAGTGGCAGGACTGCCAGAAAACCCTTAAACCACCAAAGCTTCTCACTTTGTCATGCAGAGTCCCAAATTCCCATCTTTGTTGAGGCACGCTAACCTGAAATATGGAAGTGAAAGCTGGACCATAAAGAAGGCTGATCACCAAAGAATTGATGCTTTTGAATTATGGTGCTGGAGGAGACTCTTGAGAGTCCCATGGACTGCAAGAAGATCAAACCTATCCATTCTGAAGGAAATCAGCCCTGAGTGCTCACTGGAAGGACAGATCCTGAATATTTTGGCCACCTCATGAGAAGAGAAGACTCCCTGGAAAAGACCCTGATGTTGGGAAAGATGGAGGGCACAAGGAGAAGGGAACGACAGAGGACAAGATGGTTGGACAGTGTTCTCGAAGCTACCAGCATGAGTTTGACCAAACTGCAGGAGGCAGTGGAAGACAGGAGTGCCTGGCGTGCTCTGGTCCATGGGGTCACGAAGAGTCGGACACGACTAAACGACTAAACAACAACAAAACCAGAAATGGTTGCACGTTGGGGGAAGAGACAGTTGCCAGTGGAGGCTACCTCTCTTATTCTCCTTTTCCTCATCAACTGCTGCCTCCTTTGCTGCTGCTCCTGGGAGCTGGAGAAGGTGGGGTGGGGGCGGAAAGGGTCTTGTGCTGGGTTCGAGGGAGGGAGCCGGGCCGGCTGGTCGACGGGCCAGTGGAGTAGTAGCAGCAGTAGTAGCGGGGAAAGGTGGAGGAGAAAGGGAGAGCAAGGCAAGGGTCTGCCACCGCCACTGTCCTCACAATGGGAGACTCTCTGACCCCAGCCAGCCAGCCATGGAGGAGAAAATGAGCCAGGTCAGGCCTGAAGAGAAGATGGCGGCTGGAGGAGACCCTGAAACTGAAGGGTGTAGCTGGTGAGGAGCAGGTCAGCCTGTTGGGTTTTGGAGCTTGAGGGATGTGGGGTGGCAAGGACATTATGGGGTTGAGGGTGGGCACTGGAGCTAGCTGGGCTTCAGTGGGGGGTTGTCTGCATCATGAAAAACTTTAATAAAAAATCTTAATGTGACAAAAAGGCAGCAGCAGTGATACTGATGTAGAATAGAACGACCCTATTATCATCTGAGGAATGTTGCAGTGGATGGGTTAGTTGAATCCAACCCTCTGAACTCTGTGAGGGACAAGCCACCTTTCCCAGGATTCTTTCGGGAGGGTGGTGAAATAGGCCTTAAATATATGGACGAGGGTGGCGCTGTGGGTTAAACCACAGAGCCTAGGACCTGCCAATCAGAAGGTCGACGGTTCGAATCCCTGCAATGGGGTGAGCTCCTGTTGCTCGGTCCCTGCTCCTGCCAACCTAGCAGTTCGAAAGCACGTCAAAATGAAGTGGATAAATAGGTACCGCTCCGGCGGGAAGGTAAACGGCGTTTCCGTGTGCTGCTCTGGTTCGCCAGAAGCGGCTTAGTCATGCTGGCCACATGACCATCTCAGCCAATAAAGCGAGATGAGTGCCGCAACCCCAGAGTCGGCCACGACTAGACCTAATGGTCAGGGGTCCCTTTAACTTTATATGGTGCGTACACAGCCTTCATTTAGCCTTAGAGATGTTGGGTTTAAACCAATGGACTGGAACCCAAGAGTTCCTGGAGGCCTCATCCTTTCCTGTGTTCCATTGCGTTCCCAGAAACTGCCCTGGGGTGCCTTATCTTGCATTTATCTATTTTTCTGTGCTTTATTAGATTAGGCGGAGGGATAGATATTTTTGGATGACATAGGGTGCCCGTGTCATATTCTGACTCTCGTGGAATGGAACATCTTTTCTCTCACTTCCCCACAGCTGAATTACGAGGATATGCAGCAAAGAAGACCTATTTCCTCTACTACCAATTATCTGAAGAAGGGGAGGGGGGAACCATTGTGTCCAGCGGGTCATTCAGAAACATTAGCAAGGGGCAGGAACAATGGGTCAATGTACTATAACACAAGGGTTTAATGAACTCATGTAATGTCTTTAGTGACTTCAAATTCACTTCCGGGTGCGATAAGGGGATGCACGGACAATCACAAAAAGCCTGTAATAGCCTTTATACAATGGATGTGTTGAACCAAGGGCGAACTGTTCTGGGAGCTCCCTACACACCATCTTGGTAGTCAAGATAACCCCTCAATTAATGGGTGGCGGTTGTAGCAATGGGCTCATACACTTGGTTTGTTATAGGCTAATTGGCTTGCTTTGGTGTTATCCGTATCTGGGGGCTTGGGGGCTGGGCTCCGAGCGCAGAAAGGGGAACTATCTGCAAGATTTGGGTATTTGCCACCTATGCCCTCATCTGGTCAGGTGAAGCAATGGGAAGTCCTGGCCAAAGTGACGCATCCTGCTTTGCATATAAAGCATGTATGAGCATTTGCTTGGACGTGGACAAGTCATCTCCTTGCTGCAGTGTGTGCCCTGCATCTTCAGAGGCCAGGAAACCTGGGAGGCTGATTTGCTGCAAGTCTGCACCTGAATTTTTTAAAGCACTCAAAATGGCCATTCTGATGTTTTTGACATCCTTCTTTGGTACCCTGCACCCATTGTTGTCTATTTTATTTGTATATATTGCATGCTTTATGTTGCTATGGCCGTTGGCTAATGCAAATAAAGTTTATTTATCTATCATCTATCTATCCCTGCACCCAACCACTCCCATGAGCTCTCCTTTGGGCCTGCGGTTCAGAACGATGGACTTGAGGGAGTCATGTTAGTGGCCAGTTCAGCCACTCAATATGTTTCTACTGAATGACTGATCTACTCACCATAAACAAGAGCTTGGGGTGACACTTTTCTTTATAATAACCCTGTAGTTCTTCAATCTCAGGTTCGTTGAATATGAACCTGTATCTCTTTGGGACGTGGGTGGCGCTGATCTGATCTTAAGAGTCTACCCTCATGGGTGGCTAACCTGTGTCCTGCCACATAACAATGGATTCCAGTTCCCATCAGTCCCAGCCATCAGTCAGGGACGATGGTGTTGAGAATTCCATTCCTCCCGTGCTGCAGATGTGTGGGATTGTTACATGTCACATGTCTGTTTACATTCCAGCAATGATTATTGGAGTCTTGTGAGCGGAAAGGGAGATACGCTATTTCCGCTCTGTATAGCTTTTGTGTTTGCAGCTCTCTCTCCGAGGAAGAAAGACAGAGAGAGAAACCATGTTTTTCTTTGTTCTGTTACGTTTGTTTTAATTTGCAATAAATTAGGCTTAGATGTTTCTCCTCAAGGCGGAGCTTCTGTTTGGACTCTGCTAGTCATGTTGGCCACCTCATGAGAAGAGAAGACTCCCTGGAAAAGACCCTGATGTTGTTAAAGATGGAGGGCACAAGGAGAAGGGGACAACAGAGGACGAGATGGTTGGATAGTGTTCTTGAAGCTACCAGCATGAGTTTGACCAAACTGCAGGAGGCAGTGGAAGAAAGGAGTGCCTGGAGTGCTCTGGTCCATGGGGTCATGAAGAGTTGGGCACAACTAAACAACTAAACAACAATAATTGCCAGGACCAACTGTTTTCACTGATCATACAAGGACCTGTGAGCGGGTTGGGGGCTCCTTCGGGCTTGTTTTATACAAAGGAAAGTAAGTCAAATGGGCAAGACTCACCACAGGTGAGCAGGAAAGTTTGCAAGCCTCACCAGACCAGGGTCGGTGTACAAGACACACACACACACCCCGGTACCTACTACCTACATTGCACTTGGGAACATTCGGTAGTGATGGGTGTACTCTGGAGTGCTCTGGTCCATGGGGTCATGAAGAGTCGGACAAAACAACGACTAAACAACAACAACAACCCCGCCCATCTGGCTGGGTTTCCCCAAACACTCTGGGCAGCTTCCAACAAAATATTAAAATACAATAGTCATTCAGATATTAAAAGCTTCCCTAAACAAGGCTGCCTTCAGATGTCTCCTAAAAGTCTGGTAGTTGTTTTTTCCTTTGACATCTGATGGGAGGGTGTTCCACAGGGCAGGCGCCACTACCGAGAAGGCCCTCTGCCTGGTTCCCTGTAACCTCACTTCTCACAGTGAGGGAACCACCAGAAGGCCCTCAGAGCTGGACCTTAGTGTTCAGGCAGAATGATGGGGGTGGAAACGCTCCTTCAGGTATACTGGGTCGAGGCCATTTAGGGCTTTAAAGGTCAGCACCAACACTTTGAATTGTGCTCGGAAACATACTGGGAGCCAGTGTAGGTCTTTCAAGACCGGTGTTATATGGTCTCAGCGGCCGCTCCCAGTCACCAGTCTAGCTGCCGCATTCTGGATTAGTTGTAGTTTCCGGGTCACCTTCAAAGGTAGCCCCACGTAGAGCGCATTGCAGTAGTCCAAGCGGGAGATAACTAGAGCACACACCACTCTGGCGAGACAGTCAGCGGGCAGGTAGGGTCTCAGCCTGCGTACCAGATGGAGCTGGTAAACAGCTGCCCTGGACACAGAATTGACCTGAGGCTCCATGGACAGCTGTGAGTCCAAAATGACTCCCAGGCTGCGCACCTGGTCCTTCAGGGGCACAGTTACCCCACTCAGGACCAGGGAGTCCTCCACACCTGCCCACCTCCTGTCCCCCCAAAACAGTACTTCTGTCTTGTCGGGATTCAACCTCAATCTGTTTGCCGCCATCCATCCTCCAACATCTCTGAATGTGCATCATCTGCTTTAAATTTACATCCTGATCTTAGAGCATTAGAACAAAGGGAGGCGGCTCTCTGCTTTCAGCTGTTCACCCACACGTTGGGAGTGGAGCAGAAAATAAATGAGCAGATAAACCTTTGCACGGAGCGTCTGCAGGTTATGCAGACAGGAACTGCGTGACAATGTCAGTTAGACAGAAGCAGGGCAAAGAGGGTTGTTTTCCTATTTGTTGTGGCTTTGCGAGGGGTTGGTGGTATGTGGAGATTAGATGAAGAAGCCTAAGCACCTAGTGTTATCTCTCTTGATCTCATCCGCCGTAGCGAAGGGAAACAGGTGGGGTGGGTGCCACCTACTGGGGTGCAATGGAGATAGAGATATAGATAACCCAAAGAGTTGTATTATCAATCAGGAAAAAGTTGAAGACGTTTTCATTGATATAAGCTACTGGTTCTCATTTTCACTGACCTCCAACTCTGAAAGGGAGGTTCAATTCTGTTTACATATGAAAGCGAGCTTAGCTAATTGGCCCTTTGCAAAACAGTACACAAATCAAAACACAGCCATATTTTTTCCGAATTTTGCACTTCTCCGAATTTTGCAACACAGTTCCCTGTCTAAGCAACGTGCAGAGAAATGCATATCCTGGAGGTAAAAAGTTGCACATGAATGTATATATCCATAGGTACCAACTCTTAGGGGCTGGGGTCCCTTCAGACCCCACAATAAATTATTTGAGCTCCCCGCCCCCAGTTGATGGGCATTGCCATTCAAATGGTGTGTCCTGTGATTATGCATAGTGGGGTTTACCTGAGCCCCACCCCACCCCTGGGGAAAAAATTATTCAGGTTAGTATCCCTGTATATATCAGTGGCCCACTGGAAGGACAGATCGTGAAGCTGAGGCTCCAATACTTTGGCCACCTCATGAGAAGAGAAGACTCCCTGGGAAATACCCTGATGTTGGGAAAGATGGAGGGCACAAGGAGAAGGGGATGACAGAGGACAAGAGGGTTTGACAGTGTTCTCGAAGCTACGAACATGAATTTGACCAAACTGCGGGAGGCAGTGGAGGACAGGAGTGCCTGGCGTGCTCTGGTCCATGGGGTCACGAAGAGTCGGACATGACTAAACAACAACAACAACAACAAAATATCAGTGAAATTAACATACAAAAAAGCATGATGCTAAGGGAAATTGCTTTGTGAAAAAGAAAATGTGCATGTTGGGCAAAACGAGGTATCAAAACATCTATATTAGAATGTGGACTGAAAATGTGGAGAATTGATCTTAAGAGTGGAAAATGAGAGAAATGGACGTTGGTAGATTCGCCCATCCCTAGTGACATGGAAGGTGAAGAGAAGCAACCTCTGATAGCTCAGTCGGCAGAGCAGGAGACTCTAAATCTCAGGGCCAAGGGTTCGAGCCTCATGTTGGGCAAAAGATTCCTGCATTGTTGGGGGTTGGACTAGATGACCCTTGTGATCCCTTCCAACTCTATAATTCTATGATTCTATGACACATCAGTCAGAGAGCTATAAAAAGGCATGCAAGCACCAGAAACTCCTGCTCTATCCTGCTATGGTATCTTACTGCAGAGCATACATGTGAGATTGTTCCTTTACCAAACTAAGACTGCAGCCCTAAGCACACTAGCTTGCGGTTAGGGAGGAGGAAAAATTCGATTCAGTTAGCACTGAAAGCCAAATTTGAAACAAAACGAGAGCTGAAACGTGGTTGTCCTTCAAAATCTGCCCTGACCCGGATTTTGCAATGCAGTTCTTCAACCAAACAACATTTACAAAAGCATACATTAGGTAGAATTGTGCATAATAATGAATACGGCGGTGCAAGCAGCACAGAATAATGCGTTGCATTAGGGAAGAAATGCTTGCCAAAAATGTGTACGTTAGTCAAAACTGCATACAAAAACGTGTTTCTGAGGAGACATTTGCACTAAAATGCTGGAGAATTTTCCTCGGGGTATTTTTTTGCAAAAGAACATTTGCAAATTGCTGCAGAAACGCAGGAAACCAAATTTAAGATTGGAAAAATGAGAAACCGAGGGAACTAGGATTGACATATCCTTCCATTCTTGCCTGGGATTGAGTCCCGCTGAACTGAGAAAGACCCTGTTCATGAGCAGACAGTAATAAAATTGCAGGGACTCCTGTATCTGCGAGAGAAAATGCTCTCAAACTTGGGTGCTCTAAAACGGCGTTTGAGTTGTAAGAAGATGTGATTCAAAAGCAAAAGGTTTACAAGCGCCTCTCTGAACTCTTACTTCCTCTTTGGTGGGCTTCTTGCTTCCCACTTTAAAGCCTCTGACCAGAATGGCTTCAACCTCACCAATGTGTGCTTGTTTTTCAGATTTATTTTTTTTAATGGCTTAAAGTGATTATGCAAGCAACATATCTCACGGCTCACCCCAGAAACCACATGTGAATTTCATTTCTTCTCATTCAGGCGGATTCTCAGTAGCTTGAGCAAGGTTTGCAAGTAACCTCGCTCCTTTGTGGTGGAGGAGAATTGCAGTGATGTCAGTCTCTGAGCCTCCGGTCATATTAGCTGCATCATTTGGGGATGGCAAGTGGCCAGTTAAATGGTAACAATATCATTTAAACCTTTATTACCCACTGCTCACATCTGATTTTTTTTTATTATTATTATGGCCGGATTTCATGACTCTCTGATGCTCGTTATAAAACTATTTCTCATGTCTTTAAGATAACATTTACCGTATTTTTTGCTCTATAAGACTCACTTTTTCCCTCCTAAAAAGTAAGGGGAAATGTGTGTGCGTCTTATGGAGCGAATGCAGGCTGCGCAGCTATCCCAGAAGCCAGAACAGCAAGAGGGATCGCTGCTTTCACTGCGCAGCGATCCCTCTTGTTGTTCTGGCTTCTGAGTTTCAGAATATTTTTTTTCTTGTTTTCCTCCTCCAAAAACTAGGTGCGTCTTGTGGTCTGGTGCGTCTTATGGAGCGAAAAATACGGTAGTTAGAAAGCAGAGCTGCGATGAAGTTGTTCAACAGAAATGGCAACTTGATAATGCAATACCAGCTCAAATTTCCAAGATGGTGGTGTTGGTCATATACGCTTTAGAACCACTATCTTGGAAACTGCAGGAATTCACTCACAACCTAAAGGCCAAACGGGACAACATTTCATGAATGAATTTCAGGTTTGGGGTTTTGCTTTTGCTTTTTTGGCTAAAAGGAGCTGGTGGAGTGTGATTTGGATTGAGGCAGCAGCAGCCTTTCCAACCACAAACCCTCTGCCCACATGCTGCTACTGGACGCAATATGGGTTCAATTTGGTTTTTCAACCTTAGGCTGAATATGTAAACATATTCTTGTTTACTCTGCATTCTAGTATGGTTCCATCATTGATTTGAGTAAAAGGTGTTAGCCACAACCCATTTTTCTACACGTCCTTTCTCATGAATTCAAATAGAGAAGAAGAAGAAGAAGAACATAGCTGTGTTTTAAGCTGGAAATGTGTATACAGTCTCAATAGCAGCTCTAACTGCAGTGGTTTTCTCTTCCTACAAACCGGTCAAACCAACTGCACCGAGGACACACTGTAACAGTAAAGGTAAAGGTAAAGGGACCCCTGACCATTAGGTCCAGTCGTGGCCGACTCTGGGGTTGCGGCGCTCATCTCGCTTTATTGGCCAAGGGAGCCGCCGTACAGCTTCCGGGTCATGTGGCCAGCAGGACTAAGCCGCTTCTGGCGAACCAGAGCAGTGCACGGAAACACCGTTTACCCTCCTGCCAGAGTGGTACCTATCTATCTACTTGCACTTTGACATGCTTTCAAACTGCTAGGTGGGCAGGAGCAGGGACCGAGCAACGGGAGCTCACCCCGTCGCGGGGATTTGAACCACCGACCTTCTGATCGGCAAGTCCTAGGATCTGTGGTTTAACCCACAGCGCCACCCATGTTCCACATTGTAACAGTAAGTTACTATTAAAGTAACTATTCCCAAAATAAAACATCCATCCCTTCTTTTATTAAACAAAACAAAACTCATGCACACATGTAGATAAAAACAACTAACGAAACGACCCATGTCCGCCGCAATATTTGGTGAGTGTTGTGCTCACTAGCATTTAAGAAGGATCCCATCTTTCTCATAAACACTAATCTCTGAATGAAACAAACCACATGGCCCCTAAAGCAACCACATGGTTTCTGTCAATGCCTTGGAGAAGCATCGCCGCTGATAACAGGGAGGCTGAAAACACACACTGGAAGAGTGGAGAGGGCTCATACCCAACGCAATGCAAGAGGCAGGGGCGGGTGGGGTCTTGATGAGATCAGTAGCTCTGGAGTACGCCATGTATCAAACATGCCCTCCCCTCCCCCTGACAAGGAAGGGCGAGCAAATGAAAGTGATTTAGACAAGCCAGGCTGTTCAGGAACATCATATTGGGTGATAAGGGATGGGAGGAAAAAGATCACGCTGAGCCAAAGGTTAGGGTGTGCATATGCCATCTAAATAATGAATTACGCTGCTGGGGTGCTATTGCTGTTAAAAGCGGGTGGGTGCGCCACGAAAAAAGATACCACCTGTTTCTGTTGTAGCCTAAACAGCGCATCCTCTTGCCTTTCCTCTACTAAGCAGAAGGAATCGCGGGCAATACTTGTACAGTGGTACCTCAGGTTAAGAACTTGCCATATTTTTTGCTCTATAAGACTCACTTTTCCCCCCCTAAAAAGTAAGGGGAAATGTGTGTGTGTCTTATGGAGCAAATGCAGGCTGCGCAGCTATCCCAGAAGCCAGAACAGCAAGAGGGATCGCTGCTTTCGCTGTGCAGTGATCCCTCTTGTTGTTCTGGCTTCTGAGATTCAGAATATTTTTTTTCTTGTTTTCCTCCTCCAAAAACTAGGTGCGTCTTGTGGTCTGGTGCATCTTATAGAGCGAAAAATACGGTAATTCATTCAGGAGGTCTGTTCTTAACGGGAAACTGTTCTTAACCTGAAGCACCACTTTAGCTAATGGGGCCTCCCGCTGCCGCTGCGTGATTTCTGTTCTCATCCTGAGGCAAAGTTCTTAACCCGAGGTACTATTTCTGGGTTAGTGGAGTCTGTAACCTTAAGTGTATGTAACCTGAAGCGTATGTAACCTGAGGTACCACTGTATTAAACATGCTCTTGTTGAAAGTGGATCAAAGAGGATGGCATGAACCCACTTTATTTTGGGAGAGGGCATTTGCTCTTTTCATAATGGTGTCGGTGTTGACATATTTCAGTCTTGAGAGACAATGGAGATCTTTAAAAGGGGGGGGGATGCACCCAGTGCCGGATTTATGTATAAGCTAAGCAAGCTATAGCTTAGGGCCCCACTCTCTTGGGGGCCCCCAAAAAAATTTAAAGGGAAAAAACTGGATGTACATTTCCAAAATAGAAGATAAAAAACAAATAAAACCTACATACAGCAACAGTGTTTTGTGTTGTGTAGGCTCCTATGAGGTAAGTAATGGGCCCCGCCTGCTAGCCTGCTCCCTAAAATATCACCTGTTTGCTCATTTCTAACAGCGACCATTTGTTGTTGACAAAGGGCCCCATTACCTTCGGTAGCTTAGGGCCTCATCAAACCTAAATCTGGCCCTGGATACGCCTATAACAAAGGTGCTACCTGGCAGATGAAATTAATGGACTACATGGAATTGGCAGAAATGACTGGCAGAATCCGTGACCAGGGAGAAGAGTCGGTGGAAGAAGATTGGAAGAAATTTAAAGACTATTTACAGAAATATTGCAAAATAAATGAATGTTAGAATGATGTTGGATTGAAGTCAAGTGGTTTCTAGCTGTATAGCTACAAAAGAATATGGAAAAATTGGTTTTTAATTTGTAAAAATCTAATGTTACAATATATCAAGATTAAGGATTAGGATTAAAAAGGAGGGAAAGGAATTGTTGGATTAACAAATTGAATTGGAATACAAAAGAGGGAGGTATGAGGAGGTCCGGGAAACAAGTAAACGTAAAAGAAGTGAGAAAAAGATGGAATTGTTTTTAACTGTTTTTTCTTTGTTTTTCTACTTTGTATCTTTCCTTTTTATTGTTAATTTTTTATTATTATTAATGAGATTTTTTTTCCTTTTGAAACTTTAATAAATATTATTCTAAAAAAAACACAAAAAAACCCAAAGGTGCTACCTAGGGGGAATGAGCGTATGCAAAAAATGACAAACTTACGCGAATCTGGATGCAAAATAAGTTCATTGCTTCCTAGTCATTTCAAGTCGTGCGTTGGCCTTGCTCTTGCTACATTCTTTCTGTGCTTTGTTTGACTCATTAATAATAATAATAATAATAATAATAATTTTTTATTTGTATCCCGCCCTCCCCAGCCGAGGCCGGGCTCAGAACAGCTAACATCATAAAAACAACACAATAAGCATAAAAACAGACACCAATTAATTAAAATACATCTTAAAATTATCTCAGATAAGTTAAAATCTGGGCAGGTGACAACGATCAGGGTGGAATTGAGAGTGGTTAATAATTGCCATAAAGAAGGCTGATCGCCGAAGAATTGATGCTTTTGAATTCTGGTGCTGGAGGAGACTCTTGAGAGTCCCATGGACTGCAAGAAGATCAAACCTATCCATTCTGAAGGAAATCAGCCCTGAGTGCTCACTGGAAGGACAGATCGTGAAGCTGAGGCTGCAATACTTTGACCGCCTCATGAGAAAAGAAGACTCCCTGGAAAAGACCCTAATGTTGGGAAAGATGGAGGGTGCAAGGAGAAGGGGACGACAGAGGACAAGATGGAGGGACAGTGTTCTCGACGCTACCAGCATGAGTTTGACTAAATTGCAGGAGGCAGTGGAAGACAGGAGTGCCTGGCGTGCTCTGGTCCATGGGGTCATGAAGAGTCGGACACGACTAAATGACTAAACAACAACAACAATAATTGCCAGGACCAACTGTTTCCACTGTAGGAAAGTAAGTCAAATGGGCAAGACTCGCCACAGGTGAGCAGGAAAGTTTGCAAGCCTCGCCAGACCAGGGTCGGTGTACAAGACACACACACACACACCAGTACCTACTACCTACATTGCACTCAGGAACATTCAGTACTGATGGGTGTGCCTGCTGAGGTGGTGCTAAGGATGTGACAGCCTTCGTTGTTTCCTGTTCTGTAAGGCTCCTGTTGGTTCCTGTTCAGTAACGCATATGTCACACTTCGAAAGTTGTTAACTCATCAAGAAAATTAAAATCAACTTGGTTTTTTTGCAATGTCGGTTTTTTTACTGGCAAAATGCCATTGTACGTCCTACATTTGCTACAAGTAGACAGCATTGAGGGAGGAAAAACCAGTTGCCTTTTTAATTCCAGGCTTCGCTTGGCTATAATCATTGAACCATGCATATATTGTGTCCAAACAGCAAGAAAGGAAAATTTAATCCCTGTCGTTATCTCTCTTGAATCTTACTGGGAGCCAACCGCATGTGGGTCATCAGGTGATTAATTCTCTCTTCTCAGTTGAGGACGTTTTGTCTGCTCCTTTATGTAGGACATTGTCCAAGCCTTAGTGAAAGTCTGCAAATCTCAAGAGTGGTCTCATATGGCTGCACATTCCACTCTTCCTTAAAGGCTCTCTCAGAAATGACTTGCAGATTGATTGTTTTAGCAGTATGAGGAATTTTTTCATCAGCAGGGAAAGGGACTATGCAGAATTACATGGCAAAGCTATCCAACTAATCACTTACTTCGCTTACAATAGTATGATGTTCTTTATAATACTGGGCCAACTTAGCTGAATGCTCCTGATCTGTTAAACATATGTTTTAGACTCTCCCATTCGGTATTTCCCCTTTTGACATGAAAGACAACATATTTTTACCTCTGCTCTTTGCTTGGTGATTTGCCAGAGTTTTGGTACAATTTATACACATAATCCTAAGACTGAAGCAATCAAGAAATTGCATCAATGCTGATGGAACCAGCATTTGCGTAAGAGAGGTTTATGAGACTGTATTTACAATCCATTCTCAGTTTTTCTTCTTTTCCACCATCAGTTTGAAGCATAACATAACAGTTTTTATCCTTCACAGTGCTGAGAACTCATTTTCTTGGGGATACCAGTGACCGTCGACAACAGGCGCACTGAGCTAAGGGGTGAAATGTCCATTCATATTTCCCATTGTAGAGAACAGACCATTTATGTTACCAATTGTCATGGCTCCCATGATCGGTACGCAGTGTAGTTTCTTGCTGGGACACCTGGCGGTTGAGGTCTCTTCTTGGGAGCATTTGATTGCCAGGCAGTCATGTTGAAATAGTCATTCCGAACAATCTTATTCTTCTTGGTTTTCAGCTACAAAGAAAGTGATGGAGGAGAGAGAATTTAATCATTGCAATGAACAAAACCCAATGAACAAAATCCACTTTGCAAGGAGTGATGAAACAATTGTGTGTTGATAATTTTTCTGCATTTCTGGGTATTCTGCAGAGTAGAACTAAATTCAGTCCTTGTGCATCTCCTTAATGGAGAGATACAGTGGTACCTCGGGTTAAGTACTTAATTCGTTCCGGAGGTCCGTTCTTAACCTGAAACTGTTCTCAACCTGAAGCACCACTTTAGCTAATGGGGCCTCCTGCTGCTGCTGGAGAACGATTTCTGTTCTCATCCTGAAGCAAAATTCTTAACCTGTGGTAATATTTCTGGGTTAGCGGAGTCTGTAACCTGAAGCGTATGTAACCTGAAGTGTATGTAACCCGAGGTACCACTGTATTGTGTAAAAATAATAAACAGGTGGGGGGAGGGGAATGGCGGTTGGTAGATGTGTACGTATTTAACATAAGCTGTACTACATGGAAATACTTGACATGCATGGTACTTTTCGTGTGGAGATTATGGCTCTAAAATTCTACTGATATAGTATCAGATTTGTTTAACTAGATACATATTTAATTCGTTCCAGAGGTCCATTCTTAACCTGAAACTGTTAGATAATGGGGCCTCCCGCTGCCGCTGCGCCGCCGGAGCACGATTTCTGTTGTCATCCTGAAGCAAAGTTCTTAACCCGAGGTACTATTTCTGGGTTAGCGGAGTCTGTAACCTGAAGTGTATGTAACCTGAAGCGTATGTAACCCGAGGTACCACTGTACTCACTACTGAAAGCAAGAGAGGTACATGAGATTCCCCTTCACTTAATACCCAAAAGCATGGAAAGCAGATGTGTGGGTCACTTGCTCATCTTCTTATCATCACTTCCTTGCAAGTGTATGGAACAGCTGCAAAAAATGCACTGGTCTCTAGAGCTGAGCTAGCAAAATCTTCCGTACCTTTGGCCTGATTCAGACATGCAGCCTCTACACTATTATTAGCTGTTTCACGAACAATTTTGCTTCTGCGGAGTGTGCTGCCACAATTATTTACCGTATTTTTTGCTCTATAAGACTCACTTTTTCCCTCCTAAAAAGTAAGGGGAAATGTGTGTGCGTCTTATGGAGCGAATGCAGGCTGCGCAGCTATACCAGAAGCCAGAACACAAGAGGAATTGCTGCTTTCACTGCGCAGCGATCCCTTTTGCTGTTCTGGCTTCTGAGAGTCAGAATATTTTTTTTCTTGTTTTCCTCCTCCAAAAACTAGGTGCGGCTTGTGGTCTGGCGCGTTTTATAGAGCGAAAAATACGGTAACTAGAAAACCTGGATGGTTCTTAGCACAGTACACAGCAATGAAAGTGTCCCCTTGTAATGAAGGAGCCTAGAGAGCACAGCCACCCAACTTTCAACAAAGTTAACGAAAAATTGCCTTGAATCCGTACTTTAGCCCATGGGGCGGAATTCAGTGTAGAGCTAAGGAGAGTGTTCTGCCAACACAAGCATTTGTGCTTGCCTGATCTCTCCTCTGCCCCCCCTCCAAAAAAACACTCTTCTGGGGTTCTTCCGACACCCCTCCGATAGCTTTGGGAGAAAGAGGGGGACCCCACTAGCAGAATGGGTTAGTTGAATCCAGCCCATGGTTTGCACAATTGGGAGGGTGCACATTCACCAAGTGGACCATAAAGAAGGCTGATCGCCGAAGAATTGATGCTTTTGAATTCTGGTGCTGGAGGAGACTCTTGAGAGTCCCATGGACTGCAAGAAGATCAAACCCATCCATTCTGAAAGAAATCAGCCCTGAATGCTCACTGGAAGGATGGATCCTGAAGCTGAGGCTCCAATACTTTGGCCACCTCATGAGAAGAGAAGACCCTGATGTTGGGAAAGATGGAGGGCACAAGGAGAAGGGGACGACAGAGGACGAGATGGTTGGATAGTGTTCTCAAAGCTACCAACATGAGTTTGACCAAACTGCGGGAGGCAGTGGAAGACAGAAATGCCTGGCGTGCTCTGGTCCATGGGGTCACGAAGAGTCGGACACGACTAAACGACTAAACAACAACAACAACATTCACCAAGATGCAGGCTCCTAAAATGGTAAGGAAGTTGGAGTTGAGGCTGAGTAGCATCACTGTACCATTTTTACTTCTTTAAAAAAATATATCATTATTATTATTATTCAGTTTATGTACCGCCCTTTATCAAAAGATCCCAGGGTGGTGTGCAACATTAAATATCTTTTGATGAGCACTCCAGTAATTCAACCACACTCCAGCCACTGAGTTTTGAATAGGGCCTATCTCCTAGCAGGGAACGAAAACTGGTGGGGCGTAAGGCATTTCTGTAATATTTTTTATTTGCATATGTCCAAGTCGACACGTGCCAAGCAGCCAACCCCTGCAGCACTAGACTTGGAACGCACCTGTCTCCGCAGCCTAAAGCAGCAGCATACACCTCATGGCTCAATTTTCCTTCCCACTCTGCAGACAGGTTCAAATTTCATGACTTCAGCCCCTTCCCCAAGGTGGGGTATGAGAGACAAATCCAACAGCAGCCATCAAAGATCATTGAGCTAGGACCTTCGGCTATCAAACCATACAAAGAGAATTAAAAAATGGTCCAGATTTCCCCAACCTGTTGCCCTCCAGATATTTTGGAGTCCATCATCCTTCTGTCCCAGCCCCTATGGCAAGGGATCATGGGAGTTGTAGTCCAAAACATCTGGGCCATTGGGGGGGCATGTTCTAGAGAGCTCACCTCTTTGCTTGGCAAGGCAGAGTAGGATGCCACGTAACAGCACGGAAGTGGGCTAGCTTTTCCCATCTCCAAAATTAGATTATTGTTGCTCTTCTGCATTTAAGTGTACCTCAAGTACATGAAAAAGTGAGAAATAACCATTCCTTACCCAACAATAGAAAAAAGCTGTTGTTGTTAGGATACTGTAGAAAATAAGGACTCCGATAGCTGCTGCCATACTCATGAATTCTGGTCCTTGTTGACATTGAGATTCTGGGGTTTCTGGGGCTTGACAGAGGGGAGAAAAGCTTTAAAACACATCTGCACAAACTATAAATGAAAAGCTATATTACCATCATTCCTAGATCATATTTGATTTCAAAAAAGGAAACTTCCCCAAAATGAGGAGATTGGTTAAAAGGAAGTTGAAAAAGTCAAGAGGGTCAGCTCACACCAAAATGCTTGGGAGTTGTTTAAAAACACATTATTAGATACAGTCATACCTCGTAAGTTGAACAGAATCCGTTCCGGAAGTCCATTCGACTTTCGTAATGTTCGAAAACCCAATCATGGCTTCTAATTGGCTGCAGGAAGCTCCTGCAGCCAATCAGAAGCCACGGAAGCCCGGTCGGATGTTCGGCTTCCAAAACAAAGTTCGAAAACTGGAACACTTACTTCCGGTTTTCGATCGTTTGGGAGCTGAAACATTCGACTCCCAAGGTACGACTGTACTGAAATGGAATGTACGGCACAGATTTAGAAACGTATCATGAGGAACAAGATGACACCAGTGTGGTTGACAAGCAGGGTCCAAGAAGCTATCAGAGGCAAGACTTCATCTAAAAAAATGAAATCTTGTCCTAATGAAGACAACAAAAAAAGAACACAAACTTTGGCACCCAAAAAAAAGTGCAAGTGAGGAAAGCCGAAAAAGAATTTGAATAACACAAAGGCTGAATGGTTAAATTATGGAACTCACTCCTGCAGGAGTCAGTGACAGCTGTCAGTCTAGATGGTTTAAAAGAGGGTTAGACAAATTAATGCAGTAAAGGTAAAAAAAGGTAAAGGTAAAGGACCCCTGGGTGGTTACATCCAGTCAAAGGCAACTATGGGGTTGCGGCGCTCATCTCGCTTTCAGGCTAAGGGAGCCGGTGTTTGTCAACAGACAGCTTTCTGGGTCATGTGGCCAGCAGGACTAAACCGCTTCTGGTGGAATGGAACACCATGATGGAAGACAGAGCACACGGAAACGCTGTTTACCTTCCCGCCGCAGTGGTACCTATTTATCTACTCGCACTGGTGTGCTTTCGAACTGCTAGGTTGGCAGGAGCTGGGACAGAGCAATGGGAGCTCATCCCGTTGCAGGGATTCGAACCGCCAACCTTCTGATCAACAAGCCCCGAAGTCTCAGTGGTTTAGACCACAGCTACTGCATACCAATTGCTGGAAAGCACAGGGTGGCAGAGGGCTCTTGGACTCAGAGCTGTCCGTGGAGGCACATGTCAACTCTGGATCCAGGGAGGCTGTCAACCAACTCCATGCCTGCTAAACCCTACCTGCCTGCGCACTGCCTTGCCAGAGTGGTACATGCTCTGGTTATCTCCTGCTTGGACTATTGCAATGTACTCTACGTGGGGCTACCTTTGAAGCTGACTCGCAAACGGCTATTAATCTAGAATGCAGCTGCTAGACTGGAAGCAGCCGCTTGGACCACATAATACCAGACTACCTGTTCGTTCCTGAGCACAATTCAAAGCCCTAAATGGCCTCGGCTCAGTATACCTGAAGGAAGGTCTCCACCCCCATCGTTCAGCCCAGACACTGAGATCCAGCACCAAGGGCCTTCTGGTGGTTCCCTCACTGTGAGAAGTGAGGTTACAGAGAAGAAGGAAGAGGACCTTCTTGGTAGTGGCGTCCACCCTGTAGAACACCCTCCCATCGGATGTCATAGAGTTAAACAACCATATAACTTCTCATAGACATCTGAAGGCAGCCCTGTTTTGGGAAGCCTTAATGGTTGATGTTTCCCTGTCCTTCCCCAGATGGGCAGAGTATTATTATTATTATTATTATTATTATTATTATTATTATTATTAGTGCTCAGGTCCTGCTTGCGGGTTTTGCACAGGCACCTGGCTCTTATTATGCTCTGATATACCCCATATATGGGACGTGGGTGGCGTTGTGGGTTAAACCACAGAGCCTAGGACTTGCCGATCGGAAGGTCGGCGGCTTGAATCCCCGCGACGGGGTGAGCTCCCGTTGCTCGGTCCCTGCTCCTGCCAACCTAGCAGTTCGAAAGCACGTCAAAGTGCAAGTAGATAAATAGGTACCGCTCCAGCGGGAAGGTAAACGGTGTTTCCGTGCGCTGCTCTGGTTCGCCAGAAGTGGCTTAGTCATGCTGGCCACATGACCCGGAAGCTGTACACCGCCTCCCTAGGCCAATAAATCGAGATGAGCGCCGCAACCCCAGCATCAGCCACGACTGGACCTAATGGTCAGGGATCCCTTTACCTTTACCTATACCCCATATGGCTGCTACAAGATAAATTGAATGAATAATGTAGTGACCATGAGCTAAACTTAAAGTTACGTTGGTGACATTTTTTTAAAAAAAAAAACATACTTAAATTGTCCATATTTATTCTGAAGGAGAAGCAGCTGAAGAACCCCAGCCTAGAATTGGCTCTCATAGAATTGGAAGTGACTCTGGGGGGGCCTTCCAATCCCTAGAATGCAGGAATCTCAACCCATGGTCTCCCCATCCAATTTGAAACCATTCTGGACGCTGCTTAGTTTTGCAAATGTGCTAGCAGTTTTTGAGATGGGGGCTGCCCCAAAATTAGGAAGGGGCACTCCCCAAACTGTGACCTGATTTTAAAGGTACTTTTTACTGCAGCAGCAACAGCAGCACCTGAGGGGGGCGCAGAGGGACAGCAGAAGGGAGGTGTAATGTTTTTTCGGAGGGGGGGAAGGAAGGAAAACAGAATGGGGTTGCAGTCTGGACCAGAAGACTGGGGCTCCACAGCTGCCTTTTCTTTCGAAATAAAAGTAGCGTAGCCCTTTCTGCTAAGGAAACTCACTGTTCGTTGAGAAAGTATTGGTTTGCATTTGGCAAGGGGGGGGTTAGACATTTCTAGATGCCCAATTTAAATACTAGTAGCCCTAGCTTGAGTGATTTGGGGGATATGCAAGGAATTTCATATTTGTACCTTTCACGTGAACTAAAGTGCCAAGGCTTTCGTTGACTTCGTACGGCGGTGGCTCAAAGACCTCAATTTTGCAGCTGTAAATGTCCGTTTGATTGGCATGTAGGCTCTGCAGGTTAAAGGTGACTTCCTTTTCTGTCTTGAATGCAACTCGGCAGCTGATTTCCGGACCGTATTTGGTAATATTATGGGTGCTGTTCTTGTAAATGGAGCAGACTTCCACCCTTTCTACTCCTTTACGGAGCAAGGCTCTGAATGCCTCTATCTTCTTTCCGTTAGATGTGTAGTTGCAGAATATCTTGGCACTTTCGCTCATTAGGCGCAGAGGTCTCTGTTGCACTAAAATATTCGCTTCTGAGGGTGGGGGAAAGAGAGAAACAAATGTTAGGCAGTGGTGGCACCAGAAGGAAGGAAAATATTAAGGTGGGGGAAGAGCGGAGCAGGTTTTGTTTCGTATTATTAAACCTTCCCAAAGAGAAACATTGCTTCATTTCATAACAGTGCTTTGTTCCTAAATATATTTACTTGGAAGTAACTTAAGTAGCTACCAGCCTTAATTAGGACATTGATATAAGGTTGCATGAGAAGAAAAAAGAGAGAGATTTTTAGCATGAGCTGCTGCTAAAAGTGCAACTCTTCTTGAATGGGGAAGGGATATTGAAAACCTTTGTTAATAATAATAATAATAAAAAAATAATAATAAAAAAAATTATTTATATCCCGCCCTCCCCAGCCGAAGCCGGGCTCAGGGCAGCTAACAACAATAAAATAGTACAACATTCTAAAATCATTTCATTATAAAATTAATTCAAATCAAATTGATGGCAACCAATAGGATAAAGTTTTGTGAAGATTGCCAAAGGAGGGAGTCAGGCTGCGCCCTGACCAAAAGCCTGGTGGAACAGCTCTGTCTTGCAGGCCCTGCAGAAAGATGTCAAGTCCCGCAGGGCCCTAGTCTCTTGTGACAAAGCGTTCCACCAGATCGGGGCCACAGCCGAGAAAGCCCTGGCTCTGGTTGAGGCCAGCCTAACCTCTCTGTGGCCTGGGACCTTCAAGATGTTTTTGTTTGAAGACCGTAAGTTCCTCTGTGGGACATACCAGGAGTGGCAGCCCCGTAGGTACGAAAAACAAAAACAAAAAAAAACCAAGATTCAGGAAGTATTATAAGCTTGGCTAGGGGGGTAACTTGTCCTAACTTCTCCTTAAGCAGTCTGCATAAGACTGCCCTAAGTTTTAGGGCCAGGCATGCTTAAGCAAAACAGGATAGAAAAACACTTCATTCAAAAGTTAGTAGCTCCAAATGTCATCGAAGATCTTCTGGATGAAGCTCATGGCCTGGGAATGTAGCTCAGGTCCTGGGAAACAAAGGAACTCCTCCTTGATTTCGGCAAAAAAAAAAAATCCCCGCTGTCAAATGCATAAGAATCAGGTTGCTTTCACAGCAGAGCTCTTTACTGCTGTGGCAGCATTTCTTTTTCCACACGCAGCTGGAAGTGTAATTCAAACTGTGGTTTTATACAGTTTGAATGTATAGCTATGTTATCTGACGATACCCAGGGTCGTGGTCAAGATTCGTCTATAAGGTCTACTCAGATGAGGTCATTCGGTGTTAATCTGCAGCCAACTCCTTGCCATTTTTGCTTCGGTTATTGCTTCCTGTTCAGTGCTGCTGAAAGTTTAATGATTGATTCCCCCTTAATTAGTCCATTCCTATTCCCTGTAGGAGGGACGCGGGTGGCGCTGTGGGTTAAACCACAGAGCCTAGGACTTGCTGATCAGAAGGTCAGCGGTTCAAATCCCCATGACGGGATGAGCTCCCATTGCTTGGTCCCTGCTCCTGCCAACCTAGCAGTTCGAAAGCACATCAAAGTGCAAGTAGATAAATAGATACTGCACTGGCAGGAAGGTAAACGGCGTTTCCGTGCGCTGCTCTGGTTCGCCAGAAGCGGCTTAGTCATGCTGGCCACATGACCTGGAAGGTGTACGCTGGCTCCCTCGGCCAGTAAAGCGAGATGAGCGCTGCAACCCCAGAGTCGGCCACGACTGGACCTAATAGTCAGGGGTCCCTTTACCTTTATTCCCTGTAGGATCAGTGGGAGATTCGTTACTGATTTTATTTATTAATTTATCTAAAATATTTTAGTGCAAAGAATTAGTTTGCAATAAAAGGGGGGAGGGGAGAGAGAGAAATTGCACCACAGGGAAATTTGCCCTTTTAAAGGGCAATTAAAAGGCCATTCTTCAGTAGGGATGTAAGGAGTCAGAGACGTTCATCCTGCCCTGTGTTCATTGCAACCAATGCTGTTTCTGTTCCACTGCCATTTGGCTTCTGCTAAAACCTGTCTCACTTGTCTCACTGTCCGCTGGAGCCAAAACTAGCATAATTCTAATTATGTCATGAATTTCAATGCGTTTCAATGGAAAGGAAATGTCAACAACAATGCAGAAAATAATGCAATTATTTACATAATGTTTGTGGGCTAAAGAAACAACAATAGCGAATATTGCAAATATTCGCTTCTGTCATTTTCATCTCTGACCTTGAATGAACGCACAAAACTTATGTCCATTTCCATTTCTGACATGATCTTTTTGATATCCTGGTTCTTCAGTACAGTGGTACCTCGGGTTAAGAACTTTATTCGTTCTGGAGGTCCGTTCTTAACCTGAAACTGTTCTTAACCTGAAGCACCACTTTAGTTAATGGGGCCTCCCGCTGCTGCTGCGCGATTTCTGTTCTCATCCTAAAGCAAAGTTCTTAACCCAAGGTATTATTTCTGGGTTAGCGGAGCCTGTAACCTGAAGCGTCTGTAACCTGAAGCGTCTGTAACCTGAAGTACCACTGTAATGCTGTTGCAGCACTGCACAGGAAACAATAAGAAGGCAAAAAGCTGTAAGAAGGAAGCTGCTAATGAAAGATACAGAAGCCCTGAAAAAGCCTTAATAGCACTTTGCCAATCCACACACATTGGAGAGATGGCCACTGTTCTTATTTATGTTGTAAATTTATTTTACCACAAATGAGGTCTGCACAAAGTTGGGGCGACAATGCAGAAAATGCCAGATGGCAATAATCTGGCATCATTTTAAAAACTGGGTGAGCAAATAATGGCTCTTGAGCTAAAATGCCAGTGAGTGGGGAAGCAACCTCAGGATCCAACATTATGGGATGTATCCAAGGCTAGTTATAATCAGAGTAGACCCAATGAAATTTACAGACATACCAACATAAGTTCATTAATTTCAGTAGGTGTATTCTGAGTAGAACTTAGTTGGCTACAACTCCATGTTACATTTACTGCCTGAAATCAGGTCTTTAGATTTAATTTTATTTCTTCTAGATTTTATAACATATAGGATTGTGATCTAAATGTAATATAAAGTACCATTTTGGCACCATTGCTTGCCTTCCCTCATCCATCTGCAGCTATATTTAGAGTACAACTGTCAGGGGTTGAAATCTCCTAAATCTCTGTATATTGTCTCTCATTCTCAAAAACTGTAATGCATCTACCACAGCTGAGAGGCCGAGTGAAAATAATAATAATAATAATAATAATAATAATAATAATAATAATTTATTATTTATACCCTGCCCATCTGGCCAGGTCTCCCCAGCCACTCTGGGTGGCTCCCAGCAGATTATTAAAAACACGATAAAACAACAAACATTAAAAACTTCCCTAAACAGAGCTGCCTTCAGATGTCTTCTAAAAGTCAGATAAATGTTTATTTCCTTGACATTTGATGGGAGGGCGTTCCACAGGGCGTGCACCACTACCAAGAAGGCCCTCTGCCTGGTTCCCTGTAACCTCACTTCTCGCAGTGAGGGAACCGCAAAAAGGCCCTCGGAGCTGGACCTTTAAGTTCATCCGTAACTTGCATCAGAGCAGGCTGTTGCAGGACCTGGAAATTGAGGCTCATCTGTGAACCCCTTCAAAGCATTCTTGGACCATCTTATGTCCCTGAGCTTGAACAGCTGAAGGTCAGGACCCAGCTTCATTCCGAAACTCTTGACTACAAAACAACAGCTCTCTGCAAAGACAGGGTCCTTTCATAAGCTGCATGTTTATAGGCAGAAATCAAATCCATGCATGCATGCAGCCCTTGGAGATCTATTCTGAGGACCGGGATCGACAGGCGTTCCCTTTTCTGAAGGGAAAGAAATGCTGGATCACAAGTTGTTTATGCAGGTGCACCAACAAGCACCCACCCACCCACACACACACACACTACAGTGGTACTTCGGGTTACATACGCTTCAGGTTACATACGCTTCAGGTTACAGACTCTGCTAACCTAGAAATAGTACCTCAGGTTAAGAACTTTGCTTCAGGATGAGAACAGAAATTGTGCTCCAGCAGCGCAGCGGCTAGACCATAAAGAAGGCTGGATCATAAAGAAGGCTGATCGCCGAAGAATTGATGCTTTTGAATTCTGGTGCTGGAGGAGACTCTTGAGAGTCCCATGGACTGCAAGAAGATCAAACCGATCCATTCTGAAGGAAATCAGCCCTGAGTGCTCACTGGAAGGACAGATCCTGAAGCTGAGGCTCCAATACTTTGGCCACCTCATGAGAAGAGAAGACTCCCTGGAAAAGACCCTGATGTTGGGAAAGATGGAGGGCACAAGGAGAAGGGGACGACAGAGGACGAGATGGTGGGACAGTGTTCTCAAAGCTACCAGCATGAGTTTGACCAAACTGCGGGAGGCAGTGGAAGACAGGAGTGCCTGGCGTGCTCTGGTCCATGGGGTCATGAAGAGTCGGACACGACTAAACGACTAAACAAAAACAAGCGAGGCGGCAGCAGGAGGCCCCATTAGCTAAAGTGGTGCTTCAGGTTAAGAACAGTTTCAGGTTAAGAACGGACCTCCGGAATGAATTAAGTACTTAACGCGAGGTACCACTGTATTAACATGCTACTCAAAATAACAATGGGGTGCTTGTGAGGAGTGTGTGTGTGTGTGTGTGTGTGTGTGTGTGTGTGCAGAGAAGAGAGCCTCACAAACAAATGATAAAAGTTTGCTGCTCTCGTGGGGGAGGCATTAACCTCTTCCCACAAACTGAGTGGAAGAACATGCTGCAACAGCGGCTTTCAAACGACTTGCGCATCATCATCATGTCAGGTGCCTCTAGGCCACCATCCTGTTTTCAATAATGGCCAGCATGAAGGTCCCAGGAAGCACTCCTGTAAGGCTTGGAGACCGTAGCATCCATCCAGATTTAAATAATAGCATCCCTTGCTCTGTAAGTGGAAGCTGAAGAAGGTCGGGTCGAGGAAGCAGGGATTGCCTCATTGCAAGAAGCGCAAAGGCGGTTTTGCACCCTCTCATTAACAGGAGGAGAGGACTACAGTGGTACCTCGGGTTACAGACGCTTCAGGTTACAGACGCTTCAGGTTACAGACTCCGCTAACTCAGAAATAGTGCCTCGGGTTAAGAACTTTGCTTCAGGATGAGAACAGAAATTGCGTGGTGGTGGTGCAGCGGCAACGGGAGGCCCCATTAGCTAAGAAGAGTTTGGATTTGATATCCTGCTTTCTCACTACCCTAAGGAGTCTCAAAGCGGCTCACAACCTCCTTTACCCTTCCTCCCCCACAACAAACACTCTGTGAGGTGAGTGAGGCTGAGAGACTTCAGAGAAGTGTGACTGGCCCAAGGTCACCCAGCAGCTGCAGGTGGAGGACCGGGGAACCGAACCCGGTTCACCAGATTACAAGTCCACTGCTCTTAACCATTACACCACACTGGCTCTCAGGTTAACCTGGTACTTCAGGTTAAGAACGGACCTCCAGAACAAATTAAGTTCTTAACTCGAGGTACCACTATATTGCTAAACTGTTAATATTCCCTTCTTAGGCAAGGTGCTGGAGAATGCTCTTTGACCTAGCACTGGTCAAAGGTCCAGGTGGCTTCGGTTGCTATTTCAGGCTGGTTCACCAACTACTGCCTTCCCTGGACAGAGATCCTTGGCTGCAGTGCTTCATGCGCTGGTAACCTTGGGAGTAGACTGCTGCAGTGCGCTCTACGTGGGGCTGCCCTTGGAAATGGTTTAGAGGTTAAAACTGATACAGAATTCAGTAGCTAGAATGCTAGCAGGCGCCACTGACCAAGTCTCAAAGATCTCCACTGGTTGCTGATACACTTCCAACTGCGACTCAGAGTACTTGGGCCTCAAATAACGGAAGGAGCAGCTCCTCCTATACAGCCTTGCTCAAGTATGAGGCATATCATTTAACAACGTGACCGAGCACCAAAATGCATCGTTCGCTGTTTTGCCATAAGCAAAACGCTAAGGAGCCATGTCTGACTTGGTATTTAAAATTACTTTTAAGTGAAAGCAAGAGCATTTTCGCCCATTTTTAATGGTTTGTTCTTTGTCTAAAATGGCCTGGTGATTTTTACTGCTTTAGTCAACTAGCTGCACTTTGATTTTGAGCCTCTGCCTTCTCTGAGACTTAAAAAAAAAAAAAATCAAACTTATAAACATAATACAGATTATATCTGTATGCAACAACAACAGCTAGAGTTTTGATAGCCCAAAAGTGGAAGTTACAGGAGATTCCGACTGTAAGGGAATGGCAGATAAAGCTGGTCGAATATGCTGAAATGGCCAAATTGACACACAGAATTCGCAATCAGGAGGAGACAAAGTACCAAAAAGAATGGAGTAAATTTATGGTTTATATAAGTGAGAACTGTAGAAATTTGAAAACGTTGGCAGGATTGAATTAAATCTTACGTCACGGTGTAATTTTTAATCAGTGAAACTGTGAATTATAGACTGGAATAAGAAAACTTGTGGAAGGGAAGGACGGAAGTCAACGCCTCTATGGAGCACAAAGTAGGATATATGTAATAAGACCTGATGTTTTTGTTGGTTGGTGTTGGTGTTCTTAAATCTCAATAAAAAGCGTTTGAAAATAAAATGTGAAATATTGTTGACCAAAAAAAATCAAACTTAAGCTTTGCATGGAAGACATAAGATGGAGACCACACCTCTCTGCTGATTTACATGTTGGCTGCAATCCTACACACAGGTTGTTGTTGTTGTTGTTACTACTACTACTATTAATTTATACCCCGCCCATCTGGCTAGGTTTCCCCAGCCACTCTGGGAGGTTCCCAACAGAATATTAAAAACACGATAAAACATCAAACACTAAAAACTTCCCTAAACAGGGCTGCCTTCAGATGTCTTCTAAAAGTCAGATAGTTGTTTATTTCCTTGACATCGGATGGGAGGGCGTTCCACAGGGCGGGCGCCACTACCGAGAAGGCCCTCTGCCTGGTTCCCTGCAACCTCACTTCTTGCAGTGAGGGAACCGCCAGAAGGCCCTCGGTGCTGGATCTCAGTGTCTGGGCAGAACGATGGGGGTGGAGACGCTCCTTCAGGTATACGGGGCCGAGGCCAGTTAGGGCTTTAAAGGTCAGCAGCAACACTTTGAATTGTGCTCAGAAACGTACGGGGAGCTGATGTAGGTCTTTCAGGACCGGTGTTATATGGTCTCGGCAGCCACTCCCAGTCAGACTATCTGATTCCCACTGCCTTCAACTGTTGCCCTGCTCACGTGCATATAAGGTACATGTAATTTGAGATGCATATAAGGTACATCTAATTTGAGAGGTCAGGGGCAGCACACAACAAGCTACATGCAACCCTAGCTCAACCTCTGCTTGAAATTCATCTCAAGTAGGTGCCCCGGGTCATCTTCCCTATCAAATTTGCTCCCCGCAAGCTGCTTTTTGCCCGACTTGGGGAAAGCACATCGGTGTTACGTAGGTGACTGAATGTTTTCTGCACAAAAGGCAAAAAATGGTTTCAGGGAGGGTGGAATTTAGGTTGGAGAGACCGTGCCATGCTTCCACTCTAACATGGCTCTGATTATGAAGAGAACTTGATTTAAAAACAATGTGGAAGAAATTTTATGTCTCAGGGTCAGTTGCGAAGCTGATTGTAGATGCTTCAGGCTTGACAATGCTTAATTAACGAATGGACCCTTTCTCCACAAGGTGCAGTAGTTGCAGCTTAGATGGCATTAGAAATATGTCTAGGGATGGGATGATCAATGGTTATTGGACAGAATTGCTAATAGAACCATCTTGTTGAGAGGCAAGGTGTCTCTGAGTAGCAGGTGTTAGAGACAAACCACAGGGGATTCAGAACCTTCAAGAAGCTTCCGGATGAATCTGGTTGTTGAAATAGAGCTGAAGGAAGGAAGGGAGATGGGGGTCTATTGGTAGATCTCTGGGTGATTTACAGTCGATCGGCAAGGATTTCCAACTCCCAGTGGTTTGACAACATCAGCTACAAAATGACCCTCCCTCTCAGACATCATAAAATAGACTGTTTATTTATTTTATATATTTATTAAATTTGTATCCCATCCTATACCCATAGATCTCAGGGCGGTTGACAACATGAAATCACAATATAAAAACAAACAAACAGAAAATGCATAAATGAAAACAAAGACAAAGCAATGGTCCCCGCTTCCACAAGAGATTTTTAAAAGGGCATTGGGTGTCAATCGGCCAAAGGCCTGGTTAAAGAGGAATGTTTTCGCTTGGCGCCTAAAGATGTAAAATGAAGGTGCCAGGTAAACCTCCCTGGGGTGAGTATTCCACAAATGGGAAATGAAGGAAGCTGAGAATAACCAGGATTGTGGTTGTTTTTGCGTACAAGGATTGTGCACTCCAGTTCTGATACTCCAAAGAAAATCTGGGGCTTAAACAAAAATCCTCAGAGCTCTGTAATTCTCTTTTGCCGCAGGCCCTGATGGGTGAATCCTGAGGTTCTAATAAAAAAATAGATCTTGCAAGGTTGAAGTCTCCCCACCTCTGACCTATATGTGGACTGACCCAGAATGCTAACTCTTATATTCTTAACAAAATGTGAGCATTCTCATGCGTGCAGTTTAATGGTGAGAGCCAGAGGTTTGTGCAAACTGAGTTCTTTGACTTTATTTCTTAAATTTGTGTACCACCCTTCATCAGAAGATTTTGGGGCGCTTCACAGAATGAGGAAAACTTAGCTTTGCATTTGGGAAACCTGAGGTGAAATAGCTTATTTACTCTGGAGATTGCATACAACCAGAATTATTTTTCTCCCCCAAGCACAATCAGTCCACCATTTCTATATTGACTAGTTTCTACATTTAAGATCCAAACCGGCCATTTTGAAATCACCTACCTTGCACCATTGGTTAGGTAAAGCATCATCACTGATTCTACCTGCATCTCCACCCCCATCGTTCTGCCCGGACGCTGAGGTCCAGCGCTGAAGGCCTTCTGGCGGTTCCCTCACTGCGAGAAGCAAAGCTACAGGGAACCAGGCAGAGGGCCTTCTCGGTGGTGGCGCCCACCCTGTGGAATGCTCTCCCATCAGATGTCAAAGCGATAAACAACTACCTGACATTCAGAAGACAGGCAGCCCTGTTCAGGGAAGTTTAATGTGTGATATTTTAGTGTATTTTTGGTCTCTGTGGAAGCTGCCCAGAGTGGCTGGGGAAACCCAGCCAGATGGGCGGGGTACAAATAACAAATTATTATTATTATTATTAAACAGCTATTTTAGAAATAAGGCTCTGTGGTTTGCAGAAGGACATCATGCAATAAGTACACTAATGCATTGGGACTTGATGTGGGGACCCAACACGAGCCGGTGAATTCGCTGCATCGCAATGACTTTGGTGTGGCCCACAGTGGTTATTAAATACTTACTTCATTATCTTTCATCATCATTACTTTATGAGACCATTTAAAGACAGCTGCTGCTAATTTGCTCTCTGGAGGTGCGATCTGTTCATTTATAATATCTCAGTTCTCTTCTGCTTAGTTTGACAGAGAAAGCTGTGAATTATAAATCTGAACGAGGGATAAGGAGCTAAAGGACGTGCGCTCCCAAGAAATATGCAGGAGTGGAAGTGAAGGAATTCAAAAAGGTTCTACAGTGTCAAAAAGTTGTCCTAAATGTCAACAATCCTTTCCTCAATAACTATACTGAAAGAGGGTGCATTCACTTTCATTTTGTGATTTCTCCCTGTAAGTATCGACATTTTTCTGCCCTTTGGAACAAAGCTTAGAAGCAGCAGTCACACCAGGGACTTCAGAAATTCGAGCTTTGATAAGCTAATAAAAACAGGTCTTTAATGGGTCTCAAGAACAGAGTAGCATTTAGAGCATCACAAAAGCAGCATTTAAGGGGTGATAACACGGGGGGGGGGACTAACTATGTAGGAACAATTCAAAATCTGAAAGATGTGCTGAAATCTTTTTTCAAAATCCTGAATGGGCTGTTACTGATGCCTGGAATGTGTGCAAATATGATGCTAGTTTATGCTATATATCTGGGCTGTCCAACTTCCAAGAGACTGCAATCTACAACCACTATAAAAATACTAGCAATAATCTACCCATTGGATTGGATTGACCAGAGTTGTTGAGCAAATTCAAGTGGATTTGGTGATCTTGTGCAACAAACCAACTCAGGAATAAAAATTGAACTGTTTGCAGTAAGGAAAGTGATGGGGGAACTGCTGGAAAGTGTGGGATAACGGTTGCTTTATGAAGTGGTTTGTTGCCCACAAACAAATTAGAATGAATTATCAACAATTAATGGGTGCTGTATAATAATCCCACTTCATGCAAAAAAAATCACAACAGATGCTCGCTAAACCTGAAAGCTGATAATCGCTCACAAGGACTGTGACCAAACTATATATCTGTGAATTTTCAAAACAATGCAGACAGCAAACTTCCAGTGGAAACAAAGATATCAATTAACCAAATACTGTTTTATGCAACCTTAATGATGGGCACAATATAGAAAATAAGTAACCAGAAGGTATATTATATGACACGTATCTAAGCAAATCTTCAAACGCAACCAATCTGAGGTCTTCATGCTATTCATTTGTGATATTTGTTGCACATGTATCCTATTCTTCCTCCAACAAGCCCAAAGCAGCTTATTCCTTATCTGGGCAGCATACAGAACAAAGATCTGCTTAGCTTCAGCAACTTTTAAAAAAGCATCATTTGCCACAGACCCTTCTCAAGAAATACAAACTGGTGATTAAAGCTAACTCAGTTACTAATTTTTTGCCAATCTCCAGAAATAGCACCCTTTATTTCAATCCCTTATCATTTTTTGTGCAAGGCAGCCGAGTCCTAATCCATCTTGTTCTGAATTAATGTGGTTTACACCCAAGTAAAGTGGCATAGAATACAGCCATTAACAGTGGAACAGTCTCCCGCTGGAGGTTGTGGACTATCCTTCCTTGGATGTTTTTAAGCAGAAGTTGGAAGGCTATCTGTCATGGATGCTTTAGCCGAGATTCCCTCATTGCAGGGGGTTGGAATGGATGACCCTTGGGGTCCCTTCCACCTCTATATGGGAGAGACAGAGAGAAATGACTTACCTGTTAGGCTGTCAGGCTGAATTAGACTGAGTGCAGTAAGGATCCACAAGATCATGGTGCGAAAGGGTGGGCTGGGAATCTTCGCCCCGTAGAGACAGAGAAGACCGAGGAGGTAAAAAAGCAAATTGACTTTTCGGGTCAAAAGGCAGGCACCTCGCAGATTTCCGCCTCATCTTTTCCTCTGAGCGGCATACAGGAAACAGAGTTACAAACAGGAAGCAGAGCTCTTTGATGACTTCACCATTTTGTCTTTGTTTATTCATCCTCTCTCTTTTCTACACCTCTTTTTCAGATCAAGTTGCTCAGTCATAGGTAAAAGACAGCCTGTTCTGAATTTGGCAGGAAGGAAGTGCCAGCTCCCCAAACGTACCTGAACATGATAGTTTGGAGCCCAGTTAGACTAGACAGTGGTATCCGAGGCAAATATTAATTTTGTTTCTCTTGAAAGACCACTGCAGCCCATCCATGGACCATAATCTTGAAGCAAGCTGGGTCTCATCTGGTTTTTTCCACTTGCCCGTCTCCCTAGGCAGTGGTAGTATCTGTATCCCTAGGAAAGGAAACCTGCTACCACCATAGCATATGGTTACCAGATTTTTTTCAATGAATCTGGGGACACTTTTTCTTCTTCTCCTTTTTTTTTTTAAGCTGAGTAAACCACAGAGCCTAGGACTTGCCGATCAGAAGGTCGGCAGTTCAAATCCCCGTGACAGGGTGAGCTCCCGTTGCTCGGTCCCTGCTCCTGCCAACCTAGCAGTTCGAAACGATGCCAAAGTGCAAGTAGATAAATAGGTACCTCTCTGGCGGGAAGGTAAATGGTGTTTCCGTGCGCTGCTCTGGTTCGCCAGAAGCGGCTTAGTCATGCTGGCCACATGACCCGGAAGCTGTACGCTGGCTCCCTCAGCCAATAAAGCAAGATGAGTGCCGCAACCCCAGAGTCGGCCACGACTGAACCTAATGGTCAGGGGTCCTTTAGCAACAAGGAGTCAGTAATGGGGATGGTGAGGCAAAAGACCCTGGACCCAAGCACACATGTGTAATGTATAAAGGTGCAAAGCCCTTCTTTCGCACCCTGTGAAACGTAAATGCGCAGAGCTTTTAAAAAACTGGGCAACGGCGCGCCACCTGCCCGTGACTCCTGAGTCTTCCCTGATCTCCTTCCCCCTTCCTCCTTTGTTTTGACAGATCGGTGGAGATTCGGGAATCGCGGGCAGGCAGCCGTTGCCCAGGAGGGGAGCAAGGCACGCAGTTTCTCTGCCAGGCAAGATGCAAAGCCCTTCTTTCGCACCCTGTGGAACATAAATGCGCTGCCCGCAACTCCCAAGCCTCCTCTGATCAGTCAAAACAAAGGGGGAAGGGGGCAGGAGATCTGTACCACCGGACGTCCCCGGTTCCCCTTCAGCAGTGGCGGAAGCAGCAGCAGTCAACAGTCCGGAGTCAGCCTGGTAGCACAGTTGGCTCTGGCTGGCTTCAGGAGCTGCTCGCTGCTGTGGCGTCCACCATTTTTCCTCACCGGAAGTTCCAGCGAGGAAAAATGGCCGGCGCCACGGCAGCGGGCAGTAGGCAGCTCCTGAAGCCAGCCAGAGCCAACTGCACTACCAGGCTGGCTCCAGGCCGCTGAGGCTGCCACTGCCACATTTCCCGGGGACAGATTTGCAAATCCGGGGACTGTCCCTGGGAACAGGGGACATCTGGTAACCCTACCATAGCAGCCAGAAAGGCAAAACATTTTGTGCCAGTTTCACCACCACTTCTACGCATGGGTCTCAGCGGTTTTGCCTTTGCCTCGCCACTTTCCCCTGGAAAACCCAATCTTTAGCGCTAAATCGGAACAAATAAGCAACCTTTAGAAGACAACTGAAGGCAGCCCTGTATAGGGAAGTTTTTATAGTTTGATGTTTTATTGTGCTTTCCTATGTGTTGGAAGCCGCCCAGAATGGGCAACCCAGTCAAATGTGTGAGGTACAACTAATAAAGTTCTGCAGAGAGAAGAAATCTATGTCAGAGGAGAAGGAAGGAAATGTGAAAAAAAAAAATGGTAGCATTGTTGCAGAGCATCTGAAATCTGGCCTGGGAAAGATGACACCAAGAGACAGTCAGAGCTAAGATCCCATTCAGAGACCACTCAAAAGGTCTCTGAATGGGATCCATGCATGGCAGTTTGCAGGGGAAGAGATGTGCAGGGATCTGCAGAAATTGTTTGGGAAGTGGGCTGAGAATCGTTAACATCATATATACTAATTCCAATTGTCAATGGAAAGAGCGTCATTGTTTATGTAGCTTATTGCCAGGAAGGCGACAACTGTTGTTGTATATGGGATTATTACCTTGACTAGAATGTAAAATAAGGTTTTGGAAAGCAGATATAAAGAAAATCATCTTACCATCAATTCTAGCACACGGGGGGGGGGCACATAAATGGTTTAATTTGGTATTTGTGTGATTGGTATTGATAATTGTATTATAATTTGGTATTGTTATAATGTGGGTTGTAATTGAAAATTAATAAACAATATTATCCATAAAAGGAAGGTGGGAACTGCGAGCTGAGAGAATAGTCCAAAGCAGGGGTGGGAAATCTAAAGTACAGCGGGACTCCAGCTCCCAATGGTACCTGCCTCGTCCTACAAACTTCTTAGCAATGGATCTTTAAGGAGACTACCCAGAATAGGTGTTTCCTCAGGGGAGAAGCCAAGAAACATAATTTTGCTATCATTTGGGATCCATCCTTGCATGATGTGATCAGTCAGCGAGGAGCAGAAAAACCGCCAGACCCTTACAAAACGTTTTGGATAGATTTGCTGTCAAGACATCTACTATAATACCTTCAGTACCTACGTGATGTGTACTGTACTAAAAAAAAAGTGACATGACTTTTCATCTTTGAATGTTTGTTGTTGTTGTTTAGTCGTTTAGTCGTGTCCAACTCTTCATGACCCCATGGACCAGAGCACGCCGGGCACTCCTGTCTTCCACTGCCTCCCGCAGTTCGGTCAAACTCTTGCTGGTAGCTTCGAGAACACTGTCCAGCCATCTCGTCCTCTGTCGTCCCCTTCTCCTTGTGCCCTCCATCTTTCCCAACATCAGGGTCTTTTCCAGGGAGTCTTCTCTTCTCATGAGGTGGCCAAAGTATTGGAGCCTCAGCTTCAGGATCTGTCCTTCCAGTGAGCACTCAGGGCTGATTTCCTTAAGAATCGATAGGTTTGATCTTCTTGCAGTCCATGGGACTCTCAAGAGTCTCCTCCAGCACCATAATTCAAAAGCATCAATTCTTTGGCGATTAGCCTTCTTTATGGTCCAGCTCTCACTTCCATACATCACTACTGGGAAAACCATAGCTTTTACTATATGGACCTTTGTTGGCAAGGTGATGTCTCTACTTTTTAAGATGCTATCTAGGTTTGTCATTGCTTTTCTTCCAAGAAGAAAATGAAGAAAATGAGAAGAAGAAGAAAATGAATGTTTAGCCATATGCAATGTCCATCCACAGAAAGCCTGTAGCTCTGTTTTTGTTAGTCTTTTTGTTGTAAGGAGATTATCTTGGTACTACGAGTTTTACCTTGTAATGCGGGAAAACCATAAAATATGCACTGACCATTGGTCATGCTAGTTAAGACTTATGGGAGTTGGAGATCAACTATATCTGGAAAGCTACTACTTCCCAACTCCCTCTCTACACCCAGTTTTAGGGGTAGAAGATCAGGAACATTAGCTTGATGTTGAAGATCTGGAACTCATGTCTGCACAACAACGCTCTTGAAAAAACTATCAAATAGCAATATTTATCTCTATGGATTCCTCTGTTCTTTAACTGGAGACTGTATTGGGGACACGGGTGGCGCTGTGGTCTAAACCACTGAGCCTAGGGCTTGCTGATCGGAAGGTCAGCGGTTCAAATCCACGTGATGGGGTGAGCTCCCATTGTTCGGTCCCAGCTCCTGCCAACCTAGCAGTTCAAAAGCATGTCAAGTGCAAGTAGATAAATAGGTACCACTCCAGCGGGAAGGTAAATGGCGTTTCCATGCACTGCTCTGGTTCGCCAGAAGTGGCTTAGTCATGCTGGCCACATGGCCCAGAAAAACTGTCTGTGGACAAACTGCTCCCTCGGGCAGTAAAGCGAGATGAGTGCCGCAACCCCAGAGTCGTTCGTGACTGGACTTAACTGCCGGGGTCCTTTTATAGGTTCTAGTACAGTAATACTCATGTGAACTTTAGATTAGGCAATTGAAATTTAAAAAGGACACTGGCTTCAAATAACATGAATTTTACCAACCTCTGCTAAGAGGTGTAAGTTTGCAGGTTCATGTGTTTCTATGTTTAAAAAAGAAAATTTAACCAGGCAAGTTTTTTCCTATCTCCCAAAACCTCAAAAAGAAAGGACCTTTCTAAATGTGGCATCCAAACAAAATTAATTGCCCATTCTTCATTTATGCTATGAGTCCCCAATCTTACTATTTTACTTTCTGAATGTATTGTTATTTTGCCCCCTCCCAAAAAAAAAATTCATCAGAACAAAAAACAGCATAAATTAGTCCAAAATGACCCATGTTAAGTCGTGTAGGGTTGATGCCTCATTCTACATTTCTCCCGGGAAATACCAAGATCACTTGATAGGTGATCGTCACCATTCAGAGATGTTACACATGGACACAGATGTAACCTAGCGATACACATCTTGACATAATCTCAAAATTTGATGGTGGGCGCCCTCAAGAGTTTATCTATTTTTCAGAAAATTCAATCAACTGCCGTACAGAAGTTGGAGTGTTTCAGCTCCTCCATTATAATATGTGATTTTGAAGCAAAGGCTAGAAACCAAATTTTCACAAGCCTTGGAGAACAAGGTTTTCAACTGCTGTTGAAACACAGGGATGAATATTCTTTAGAACTACCTCATTCGGGCTGGGCGGGGTATATTTCTGTAGTTAATAATAAACACTGGAATACGAAAAGAAAGAATGTACAACTTTCAAACTATTTATATAACATATGACCATTCAGCTTCCAGAGTCCAAGCCAAAATCAGCTGAGCTCCAAATTCAACAATCCTCTACTTGAATTTTCTCGAATTTCCAAACCCAACAGAGCGATTATTGCCAAATATGATGGGGAACAGATGTTTCATTGTATTTTGGTAAGAGGAAAGTACTGACTCATAGCAAACTGGAACCTTTTTTATTTTCTGGGCTGGGATGTAAAAACACTGTAAATATACCAGGAACAGTTTTAAATATTTCCTCAGAGGAACCGGTGATTTCAGTTGCAAACTCCGATGGTGAGAATTGCAAGGTGGCTGCTTCTTCTAGATGAAAAAAGAAACTGGTGCTCATTTAGGTATTATAATCGTGGAATCATAGAGATGGAAGGGACCAAAAGAGATCTAGTCCAACCCCCTGCAATGCTGGGATCTTTTCCCCCCAACATGGGTGTGCTGGTCCTGTGGGTTTCCGTGAGGCGAGGTCCGAGTCCAGTCCGAGGTCGAGGGTGCAATATTGAGGCCATCCGTCAAAGCTGAAGCTGGGTCCAAGGCAGGGAGTCGGGTGAGGTCAGGAGCTCCGGCAGAGAAGCAGGACAGGGTGCAGGCAAGAACAGGCTACCAACAATGTTGCTCCCACAACTTGGGACTGGGGCTGGCCTGGAGGCGAGCACTCCTCCTGCGGGAACTTAGTTCCCTCCGCCTCTCTGCCCTGAGCCTCTGCAGCTCAGGAGAGGCTGGAGGGTTACTGGACCCAGAGGCAACATCAGCTTCCCCTGACGGGGCTGAGAGTGGAGCAACCCTGCAGGCTGGGATTCCTCAGGTTCAGCCTCCGAGTCCGAATCCCAGGCCATCACAATGGGGCTCGAACCCACAACCGTAAGATTAAGAGTCTCATGCTCTACCGACTGAGCTATATTAGTTTATTTAACTTGGGAGTTTACTTAAATAAAGGAAAACACATTTACCCCTCTAAAAAAAACCCAAGATGTTACGTGCTCTTGTTTCTTGCAATTATTTAAATTAAAAAGAGAACTAGTTGCCTTTCATTCTTTTTTAAAATATATATATAAATTTTTATTAGTTTTAACATAGCATTTTCAACAATAATTAAACATAATTTTACATCTTATACAGTTTTTTTGACTTCTGAAAATTTTCCAATCTAATCACTTAGTATACATTTCTTACTTTCACCATTACATTTAAGTCTCCTAACTAATATCTCTCTTCTTTTCCTATTTTGCAATGTTTCATATATTTCTCCTTACAAAACTTCTTGTAGTCCTACTAGCGTAATTTGTTGATTACAGTTGCTCTTCAAATAGTTTGTATATTTCTTCCAATCTTCTGTGAATCTCTGGTCCCGCAGGTTTCGAATCCTTCCTGTCATTTTATCTAATTATGCGCAGTCCATTAATTTTGTCTGCCATTCTTCTTCCATCGGAATTTCTTCTTGCTTCCATTTTTGGGCTAACAATACTCTTGCCGTAGTTGGCTTTCATTCTTAACCCCTCCCCCCCCCAAAAAATGTTATAAGCCTATTGGCTTAATCTACTGGGAAGTTCTATTGGGCAAACCCATCGATATTCATAGGTGTTTTACAAGAGCACTACTCTATGTTTGGGATGCGGGTGGCGCTGTGGGTTAAACCACAGAGCCTAGGACTTGCCGATCAGAAGGTCGGTGGTTCAAATCCCTGCGACGGGGTGAGCTCCCATTGCTCGGTCCCTGCTCCTGTCAACCTAGCAGTTAGAAAGCACGTCAAAGTGCAAGTAGATAAATAGGTACCGCCACATGACCCGGAAGCTGTACGCTGGCTCCCTTGGCCAATAAAGCGACATGAGCGCCGCAACCCCAGATTCGGTCACGGCTGAAGCTAATGGTCAGGGGTCCCTTTACCTTTTTTACCTTTACTGTATGTTTGCAAATCTGCCATGCGTCTTGTGGAGAGAAAAGTCGGTGTGCACAATAGACCCAAGGGTGAGGAACCTCTGCTCTCCGAATGCAGCAGAAATTCAACTCCCATCTGCCCTAGCAAAGATAGCCAATGACCCAGGGTGAGGAGCGTTGTCGTTCAGCAAGATGTAGAGGGCCACAGGTTTCCCACACCAGTGACAGGGGAAGGGCTATAGCTTTGTGGTAGAGCAGGAGCCCAGGCTGATAGAGCAATAATAATAAAAATAATAACAAGGGACATAATGGAACCAGGGACTTCGGCTGGATCTACACTGACCTGTTTGACGTTATTTCCCCTTATTGGAAGAATATTAGATATGTCGTTCTAAAACGTCACAGGGCACACTTGTTAATTCTTGGTTTTTCTGGCCAAAGGTAAGTGATACCTGTCCACACCATTTCTCAAAGCACTGTTTCCTTTTCCAGTTGGTCATTGGTTGCTCTGGACTCCACCCCCTGGGGTCAAAATTTAATTCTTCCTTCCTCCCTCGCTCCCTCCTTCCATGAACCCCATCCCATAAATACCATTGGAGAGGGGTCAGAGTTTGAATGCGGGGAGGGGGGGAGGTGAAACACTACATTAGGGAGACATGAGCAGTGTTTCACCAATATAGCAGCATAAAACGATTAAAAATTAAGCGATAAAAATCAATTACATTAGAAACATAAAAAGGAGGACGTCATGTGTCATCTGTGTTATCAAAACCGTCCCTTAACCCTTCCTTAACGTTAAAAACCGTTCATGTAGATCTGCCCTTGCATCATTGCTGTTTGTGTGCCCAGCACACAGACGCGCACAATTTTCTTTTCTCCCACTGCTCTTTCCGTTCAAACAGGTGCTGCAGGTTTATTGAACTCTACAAAAACCTGCCAGACCTGTTGGTTTAAAAGTGGCTGTGAAATTTGGCACACCCGTACAAGACTTTTCAATGCCACCAAATCATCATCCTACACACCGCATCAGATTAGAGTCTCGCGTCTTTTATAACTTCTGCAGTCGCAATTGAAAGGGAAGGAATTGTAGCTAAGCACATGGAACAGCGCCATCTAGTGGTTGGCAGGGTCGACTAGATAATCATTACAACTTGTCCCCCCTCTAAGCAAATAACCACATTGTTTTCAGGACGGTCGGCAATCTGCCAACTGGTATGGTTTTTGTGGTTGTTGGTTGTTGTTGTTGTTGTTGTTGTTTCCCTTGTTTGCTCACTCTGCAGCAGGGGTCAGCAACTTTTTTCAGCCGTGGGCCAGTCCACCATCCGTCAGACCATGTGGTGGGCCGGACTATATTTTGAAGAAGAAAAAATGAATGAATTCCTTTGCCCCACAAATAACCCAGAGATGCATTTTAAATAAAAGCACACATTCTACTCATGTAAAAACACCAGGCAGGCCCCACAAATAACCCAGAGATGCATTTTAAATAAAAGCACACATTCTACTCATGTAGAAACACCAGGCAGGCCCCACAAATAACCCAGAGATGCATTTTAAATAAAAGCACACATTCTACTCATGTAAAAACACGCTGATTCCCGGACCATCTACGGGCCGGATTGAGAAGGCGATTGGGCCGCATTCGGCCGCTGGGCCTTAGGTTGCCTACCCCTGCTCTAGAGGATCTGCTTGTATCACAAGCAGTAGCTAAGGCTGAGTTATTGGGGCATGCTAGGTCTTCACTCTCTGTTGGGAGATGGTGGGTCTGGGATGCTTTCTAATGGCAACGTGTCAGTCGGGTGTTGTTCCGGCTCTCCCATGATTTCCCAGCTTTTCCCCTCATCTGCCTCTGAGCTGCAACCTCCCTCAAACCCATGTTGTAAATCTATACTGTCTTCTTCTTCCTCCTCCCTGGGAGGGTCAGGGTAGGGAGGCAGTCTATTCCTCCACCATTCCTCCTCCTCTTCTACCCAGTCCCTCACAGGGACAGAAACTCATTCCATGCTATGTCAAAGCCAGAAAAATAACAGGGAGGAATGAACGATGCTTAAACCCAAACCGTTGATAGTATCCATGCGTAGACCTTGGCAGCTCACTGGAAACATGTGTTTTCTATCTATCATCCATCCCAGGACAGAAGCACCTTTGGATCAGACAGTCACAGACAGTTTCCTGTGTATAGAAAGCCACCCGTTCCAACATTTCACAGTTGAAGGCATTTGATGGTAACACCTGTTATGGCACTGCCAAAGAGATCTCCTGCTTCCCACTTTTTCTCTGCCTGCTACAAGTTGCGTTCATGCACTTGACGAAAGCCTGTCTTGCATTTTGTTCCTATAACAAGCTGACCAAAGTCACTTCCAGAAACATGCTGTTTGTTGATGATTCGTTTGTGATTGGGTTTCTTTTTTTTTAATATATCATTTTTTATTAGTTTTTTTAACATATCATTTTCATCAGTAATTAAACATACTTTTACATCTTATTCAAATTTTTGACTTCCATCAATCCTGTCTGAAAATTTTCCAATCTAATCTCTCAGTATGCATTTCTTATCTTCCCTATTACATTTCAAACTCATAACCAATATCTCTATCTTTTTCTACTTTGTAACACTTCATATATTTCTCCTTACAAAACTTCTTGTAGTCCTACTAGCGTAATTTGTTGGTTACAGTTGCTCTTCAAATAATTCATATACTTCTTCCAATCTTCTGTAAATCTCTGGTCCCGCAGGTTTCGAATCCTTCCTATCATTTTGTCCAATTCTGCATAGTCCATTAATTTCGTCTGCCATTCTTCTTTCGTCGGAATTTCTTCTTGTTTCCATTTCTGGGCTAACAATACTCTTGCCACAGTTGTTGCATATAGAAACAATTTAGCATCTTGCCTATTAATGTCCTGACCTATAATACCAAGTAAAAATGCTTCTGGTTTTTAAAAAAATGTATATTTCAACATCTTTTTCATCTCATTTATATATCATTTACCAGAAGTTCTTTGCTTTTTTACATTCCCACCACATATAATAAAATGTTCCTTCTTTTTCTTTACATTTCCAACTTGTGGTTGGGGTTCTGCATAGGTTGGATGGTGCCTGGAGTCGGATGAGCATGTCAATTTGTTTGTGTAACTTCCAGTCGATCTATTGTCGTCCTGCACATTTTCCTATCCCTTTAATTGCCACCCAAAGTCAGTGGCGAAAAATGAATTTGCTCTGCCAGAGTACTGTTGTCCGCTTTAATTGCGCATTACTAAATTTGCCGCTGGGGATGCAGGTGGCGCTGTGGGTTAAACCACAGAGCATAGGACTTGCCGATCAGAAGGTTGGCGGTTTGAATCCCTGCGACGGGGTGAGCACCCGTTGCTCGGTCCCTGCTCCTGCCAACCTAGCAGTTCAAAAGCACGTCAAAGTGCAAGTAGATAAATAGGTACTGCTCCGGTGGGAAGGTAAACGGCGTTTCCGTGCGCTGCTCTGGTTCGCCAGAAGCGGCTTAGTCATGCTGGCCACATGACTCGGAAGCTGTACGCTGGCTCCCTTGGCCAATAAAGCAAGATGAGCACCGCAACCCCAGAGTCGGTCACGACTGGACCTAATGGTCAGGGGTCCCTTTACCTTTACCTTAAATTTGCCTCTATGCAATTCAAGCCCATTCGCAAAATAGTCCCCGTCCAGAAGTGATCCAAAACAGTTTCATGTTAAAGAAAAGAATTGTTTTGATCTCACTGTGGATCTGATTGTATGGACAGTATCATGAACCATCGCTGAAATATGTCCAGCAACATTCACTATCCGCATATCAGGAATATAGCAATAGAATACTGCTTCCAGTCCCGGGCACCACAATTCAAGAAGGATATTGACAAGCTGGAATGCATGCAGAGGAGGGCAACCAAGATGATCAAAGGTCTGGAAACCAAACCTTATGAGGAATGGTTGAAGGAGCTGGGTATGTCCAGCCTGGGAAAGAGGAAACTGGAAGAAGATATGATAGCTACAGCTGCCATACATTCAGGATTTCCTGGACAT